GTCTTAGCGAAACTATTTTTTTAAGCGAGGTTATTCCTTATACTTTTCATAGAAGCTGATCGCTGAACACTTTGCATCAACTTGATAGTTTAACCTTGAAGATAGGGATGGGCCTTTCCCACAACACCGAAGCAATACACCTGAACTCACAGTGTTCACGTATACGTGCAGGTAAAAAAAACCAGTTCCGAATTGTACATGTCGTATGCAGTGACTGGCTTATGCACAGCTATACAGCTACGTACCCTTACAGTTAACTGTTCATTTTGATCAGCATATCGCTGGAATTGCGACCTGTGAGTGGATGTTTTAACTGGTATATCTGTAAAACAGATATGTGAACTGCATTCCTTTCTGAAAGGTACGTTTCAAATGGCTTTTAGCTGCGGGATAGCAGCTCAACAAATCATCATGTCTCTCCGTTAGTAACAAAATTCGACATTGTCTCTATTGCTCCTACATTATTGTGACCGATTTCAACCAAACTTTGTCAAGTATCAGTTGCCCAGCCCCAGCATGCCACATGACAAAACTGCGATCATAGGTCATCATGAGGTCACTGGAGTCAAAAAGCTGATTTTGTTTGTACTCAAACCACTACTTCCAGAAATTACAACAAGGTGACTCGATCGTCATGAGCACGCAGCTCCGAGATATTTCTGATCGAGCAGGTCAGTGAGAGTATATGTCATTCTAGCTTGGAAAACTCCACCACCCTACCACTTATAATTAATGACGAATTATCATTTCCTTGTTTACATTTCACATAAGGGGTTTCATTCTATTTTTATACAAATGAATAACTCATCTTTATCTGATTGGTCAGAGATCAATAGTTTGTCCGCGTAATGATACGTGTATTTATCGCGGATAAGAGATTTTATTTTCTGAAGGTGTGGCCGGGCGTGGCCTTTTGTGTCATATAATTCAATGACACGTGTTCAACTACCGACCAATCAGATGACGGGGATTTATTCAGGCGTTGTATAAAATGAAATAATCTAGGCACACGGGGTGCTGTGGTCCAATGGTTACGGTGTTCGACTCGTGTGCCGTGGTACATGGGTTCGAATTCTGACCGTGGGAACATGGTGCTTGTGCTCTTGAGCAAGGCACTTTACCATTATTGCTTCGTCCTTCGGATGGGACGTAAAGCCGTAGGTCCCGTGTGTTGTGTAATGCACGTTAAAGAACCCAGTAACACTTATCGCTAAGAGAAGGGGTTTGCCCCGGTGTTTCTGGCAGTGGCTGCAATGTGCGCCGCAGCGCCTTGTAAACCCTTATAAGGTGCTACATAATGGGTCTCATATTTCTCATAAACTTTATTTACCTTTCTTTAAAAATAGACATATCTCCAGCGCCTTGAGTACCTAATAGTTGGTAGATACGTGCGCTATATAAGACTCCGATATTATTATTATTATTATTAACAATGATGTGACCGAGGACAACACAGCTGGTTTAACCAGCACTTGCAGGTGGAAAGGCGTCTACATGAGAGCTCACCACCTGGAAAGAAACTGGGCTACGAATTGCTCTCATTTCAAAGAATTAGAGTTACATAAAGATGAGGTTGGTCCTTATCTGGATGCTTTTGTAGACGGAGATCTTCTAGCAATGCGCACCTCTCGTGAGACAGTCCACATCGTTGACATTCGGAAGGACACCCCTGTGTGTGTTATACATCAGAAGTTACCAAACTCGGTGGGAATGATTAAGATCAAAGATGGCGTAATGGTGATGGGTTGCCTAAGTGGAAGTGTCCGTGTGTTCGATGCAAGGACAGGGCAGACGCTACGAGTGATGGATCAGGAAAGCCGGCCAGGGAATATCCAGTCATTGTTCTTTGACGGTGAATTGGTCATCGCTAGCACCTACGACAGGTGGAGGGTCTTCAGGGACAGTGGCAACATTTACGTGTGGGGTGTCCAAGACGGCAAACGACGCCTGCTGACAATGGACGATGCGACAGAGATTGGCGGGTGGTATGACATAGATTACCAGAATAAGCTGCTAGCGGCTGCCCACTCTGATAACTACATTCACGTGTGGGATGCAAGTAGCGGAGAGTGTTTGCATCAACTAAAATGCCCAGGCGAAAGGTCAAACGTCAAACTCGGGAAAACGTCATCGTTGGTTTGAGCACCGACAACAGTACCATGTGCGTTCTTAGCACTTGGTGCCTACACACGGGAGAGTGTCAAATAAAGATACACTTTTTGTGTGTCAATAAGTCGAATCTGTACTTGGTGAATAATTTGATAATAATACACGAACATTTGGACATCCGTGTGTCTAGCGTGATGTTCGCTTATGATCTTCGTGGAACATTAGTAACTAAAAATACATTGATCGAGTACAAGGCCTGTTCAACCTTGAAGAAGGCAAATGGAAGGATGTGCTCCTTCAATTTATTATTCGGCCAAGAGGAGAAACAGTACAAAGAGTTCATCTTTGAAGCCACTCCCAATGGCTTGGTACGGCTCGTCGCTGCTGATCCTGACCTACGCGATGCTGAAATCATTTGGATGGACGAAATCAGAGTGCTTCGCTATGATACTCGTAAGAAGACACTCCTCATCCATCATTACTGGTGAACCAGTGATGGCACCTGACCAAAACGGAATCACTCGCGATGATCACGACTTTAATAAAAATCCACATTAAGTTTTACAGAACTACTGACAAAAAGCTCAAATCAAGATCTGGCTCGCACCTTCTTCATCACAGTATAATAAGTACCAATAAGTAATTGACTATCATTCATGTATTATTTTTTGGAAGTGGAGAACAAAATAGATAAATAGATAAACAGACACATACGAAATTAATGCAGTGTATTCAAATGAACTGACTTTCGCAACTGACTGTCGACCAACGTGAGTCATTGGCTGACTCACTCTCAATAATAAACTAGACAGAGCACTGCAATCAAAATTTTTCCTGGGGCTCTTAAGCGTACCCGGACCCCACGCCTTCAGGGCTTCGCGCTCGCATATACATTAAATTCCACTATATGATTTAAAGACATCCCCCCCCCCGCAGTCTGGGATCAGGGAACAGGCCTGAACAAGGTATGCGCAGAGGAACGTATCACGTACATGCAGTTTTGAGACAATGAAATAAAAACATTATATAGCTGGATTAAATTTTGTATTTTCGAGCACTTTATAAAAAAATATTTTCGAACGATTACAGTACAAGCTCTCAGTATAACAAATTAATCATTCTTGCAATTGTCCTCCGATAACAAAGAAAGAAAATAAAACAAAAAGTTACGTGATAATGGCCAAGTCTTCAGGAGTCGGACTTATGACCCTAATTCAATGAGCCCCTTATTACCGACTTCCAATAACTCTTCTGGGTCTCGGTACCCGGCCCAAAAACTTGGCAGCAAAAACATTCTTGTCACCACATATAATTTATCCGGTTCAAGCATAATAGCGGCCATTTTGAAAAAAAGTGATAACACCAAAAAAAACCGCAACTGCTCTCACTACAAAGCTATCACACATTTTCCAGTTCTTAAAGTGTATACCTTGCCATAAATTGCTATGAGCATTGCTCCTTTCGACCGTTAATACCTGTGACCCAATTTGTGGACCGAAGCTCAACTCAATCAACATTTATTTGCATAATGCCACAATTTTCTTTTGTATAAAACAACATAACAAAGTGATTTAATAAATAATAATATCAAGATTATACTTGTAGAAATAAAAATAATACATCAATAGGCAATTACGGATGCACCTTCCGTAGCCGGTTTTTTTTTATGGAGATGCCTTGACAAAACAAAACCGAAATGACAACTCAACAAATACAGAGACAGACTAACGATCGGACAAACATAAATACAATACACAATGAATGAATGGAAACACTTAGGGGTAAAACAAAATAGATAATGCCATATATGAATAACTCGTGCAACTAGTAAAACAATCGAACCATGCATAAATGTTTAGGTAACAACATAATCTAAAACTAATACAGATAAATCAGCTGATCTGACAAATATATAATGAAGAAAAAAATCACACAAGAAAGTGAAAATTAACGAATTAGTTAATAAATAAAATGAATGATAGACAACAAATTCATTATAATCTTACGCAAAATAAACAAACAAAACAATCAAATAGCCAAACAAAATACATGATGAAAATAAATTGTATATAAGACAATCATGCATTGGTGCACACATACATAAGACTGTAAACATATATGAACAAGTTGGAGTAGATAACCAAGACAAACGCAATTACCAAAACAGCAAAATAAATTATTCAGAGCATATATAAAATTAAAATATAATGCCAGACTTAACGACAAATCAATACGTGAATATCTAAAAAAGTAATGATAGAAAAGTTCGCAAGGAGAAGTATTATGGAGAGAAAATGGCTAAAAAATAATTAAAAGTAGGGAATAGACTATGACACGTAACAGGAGATAAGATATTGTTTGAAGCCAGCTTTGAAGCGGCCCACAGAAGACTTTGTTCTCAAGACTGTGTCTCGGTTGTTCCAAAGACGAGGACCATGGGAACGAAGAGTGTTCATGGAGAAAGTTGTGCGAGTGTATGGGACATAGAGTTTATTTCTAGAACGTGTGTTATATTTATGAATGTCATACACAGAATTGAAAAAAAAGTCGAAAATACACTAAGAAGAAAGGTGTACTTGAACATGAAAATGCTATTTAAAGTTTGCTAATATCTTTCAGTGTTCGTGTGTGAAGTTTGGCAAATAGAGGTGTAGTATGATTGCTGGTTGTGAGAGGGTGTAAAGTCTGATATGGCCCGCTTCTGCATGACAATAAGGGAGCGTATTTATTGTAACCATGTATATGGATTTATTAGGGCCTATTTAACTGCAACCAAGCAACAATACCTGAACTATCTCAGTGTTCACAAAAACAGTACTGAATGTTGCATGTGCTATGTAGTGATTAGCTTATACACAGCTACAGTTTACGTACCCTTACTGTTCACTGTGCATTATGATCAGCATATCACTGAAATTGCGACCTGCGAGTGGATTTTCTTACTGAACATGAAAATCATATTTGAAGTTTTTTAATATCCATCATCGTTAGTGTGTGAAGTTTGGCAAATAGAGGTGCAGTATAATTATGATCTCGTGGTTGTGAGAGGGTGCAAAGTCTGATGGCCCGCTTCTGCATGACAATAAGGGAGTGGATCGATTGTAACCATGTACAGGGATGGGACTATTTAACTACACCCAAGCAATAATACATGAACTATCTCAGTGTTCACATGTAAGTGAAAAAAACAGTACAGATTTCGGATGCGCTATGCAGTGTTTACCTTATACACAGCTACAGTTTACGTACCCTTACAGTGAAATGTGCATTGTGATCAGCATATCACTGAAATTGCGACCTGCGAGTGGATGTTTTAAATGGCATAACCGTAAAGAAGATCTGTGAACTGCATTCTTCTCTGAAAGGTATGTTTCAAATGTTTTTTTGGTGAGCGTATCTCATTCTAGCGTGGTTAACTCCCCCGACCTACTGCTTATAATTATTGACGAATTATTATTTTCCTTATGAAATGTTCACACCATGATGATCTTGTACGCAAGTCGCCAGGAATTCTTGCAGGACTAATACATGAAAGGTGATCCCAGCTAAGAGTGTTCCTGTTCACACAGTATAACCGAACTAGTCACCTGGTAATACAGTACACAGGAATGAATGCTTGTGCTCAATGGTGAGTGCAATGGTCAAACTAAATTCATGGGGTTACAGATGGAATGTTAGATTCCAGGAGGCGAAGCCAAGTTGATTGGAAGATTCAATCTGTTTCACCGAATGAGATCATTCTGTCCATGGTACGAATGTGACATATTCAATATTAGTTGTATACAACACCTAAATAAAATCATCTGATTGTTCAGAGCCAGCTGTATAGTTTCACCCTGTTATGGAACTTCTACTTACCACTGAATAAAAATAAATTCTAGGGCCTATTTTTGCGGCGCGGCTGGTCAGTATGTAATAAGCAATGGATATAGCCGTGGTCTATTACATTTGAGCAATTCGTTAATTAATTATGCAAGACAACCGCATCCTGACCTCTAGATTTCGACCAATCAGCGGGCGCTTTCTATATCGCGTCTTCGGTGCTTCGGTCATTTACCCGTTGTCGCGTCATAGACATGGATAAAAAAAAAGCTGTGTCACGCGCTGTGTATTATAATGTTACGCGATACGCGCCCGGCTGTTGTATTACAAAACACTGCATTTGAATTGACTAATCACGAGTATAGTCCTGATTGGGGAATAAAATGACGCCACGATTAAGTAAAGTTGACTCTGATTGGCTGAGGCACAAGATCGCATAAATATGCATGCTTTGACATAATCAGACGTTACACAAAATACTTGGCTCAGTGGATAACGGGTGATACTCAGACTACCGGTCCGTGGCTTGGACCAAATAATTCAATGACACGTGATCAACTGCCTACCAATCAAATGACGGAGATTTAATCAAGCATTGTATAGAACTAAAAAATCGAGGCACACGAATGAGCTGTCAAGTAAAAACAGGTTAACAGCTATAGAGCTGACTTCTTGGTCAATATGAAATAAACAAAAATAGTTTCATTTGTTACAGATATCTTCTTCGATGGCTAACGACGAAATTTCTGAAAGTGACAGCGAGAGTCACTGCAGTTCTGTGGCGTCGATTGGATCTTCTATGTACGCCGTGCCTGCCAACTTATTAGAGACAATTTTCCAACGTCTTAATGCGTCTGACCTGTGTAGCGTGGCATCATGCAGCCGTTGGCTACGCGATGCAACCAATCGGGATTCACTTTGGCGCACACTTTGTCAAAGCAGAGGATGGGAGCACTACGGCACCACCACAGATCTGGCCAAGATAGCTTCCTACGGACCTTCCGAGCAAGGAACTGGCGCTAGTGAAGCGGTTCACGACCGCGGTGTCACCTTCCAGAATGATAGGATCGTGACTGATGGCAACGCTGCGGGTTTAACTAGCACTTGCAGGTGGAAATGCGTCTACATGAGAGCTTACCATCTGCATAGTAACTGGACTAGGAATTTGTCTCATTTCAAGGAATTAGATTCCGGTATGTATCCCAGTCTCCTTTCACAAAACTTGGTGGTCGATGGGGATCTCCTGGCACTGTGTACCTCTTATGAGACAGTCCACGTTTTTGACATTCGGAAGGGCACCCTTGAGTGTGTTATCCGTGAGGATTTAGCCAACATGAACGGAGCTCTCAAGATCAAAGACGCCATTGTGGTGGTGTTTTGTTCGAATGGGATAATCCGTTCATTCGATGTAAGAACAGGACAGATGCTGCAAGTGATGGAGCAACGTCGACAGCGACGAATCAAGTCATCGTTCTTTGACGGTGAATTTGTCGTCCTTATTAGTACCCAAGACTGGTTCAGTATCGGCAGAAGGAACATTTGTTACATTAACGTGTGGGGTGTCCAAGACGGAAAACGACGCCTGCTTACAATGGATGAGCCGACAGGGAACGGTGGATTTTATGCCCTTGATTACCGGAATAAGCTGCTCGCTGCGGTCCACTCTGATAACATAATTCGCGTTTGGGACGCGAAGAGCGGAAAGTGTTTGCATGAACTAGAGTGCAGAGAGATTGCCTGTTCTGTCAAACTTGGGGATAACGTTATCGTTGGTTTTAGCGCCGACCACAACAATGCTAAGTGCGTTATTCACATTTGGAATCTGGACACGGGAGAGTACCAAAAGGAGATATCCTGTCCGTGTGCAAATAGGTGGGATCCGTACTTGACGAATAATTTGATAATGATACTAGAACATGGCCGCGTTCACGATTTGATGTTCGCTTATGATCTTCGTGGAAGATCCGTAACTAAAAAGCCATTAAAGGAGCTCATTATCATTCCAACATTCAATGAAGGCAATGGAAGTAAGTTCTTCTTTAGCAGAATTTACTCAGATAAAAGACAGACCAAAGAGTTCCTCTTTGAAGCCTCTTCTAGTCGTTTGGTACGACTCCTCACTTTTAAACGTGACCTAGGCGATGCTGGCATCATCTGGATGGACGAAATCAGATTGATTCGATATAACCTACGAGATAAGATACTTCTCATTCACCATTACTGGTGAACCAGTCCAGTGGTGACACTCTACTAGCTTGGATATACTGAAATCAAAGCACGTATCGGGAACAAATTTAACAATAGGGACAACTGCACAGTTGCAGTACGTCGGTCGTTAGAAATCCTAGTAGGGAGTATGAGATTTCAATAGAAACAAAGGACAACAATTGCAGGGAAATAACGGTGGACAAAAGTAGTGCCCCATATATAAGTACCAATAACTATGTCAAGATGGATGCACTAACGATGATAACTACACAGACAATAGGTTCAGTCCAGAGCTTGATTGCACCTGTTTTTCACCACAGCATGAAGGTAGTACCGGTACTGAAAGAATATGGGCGTAACTATAGACCTCGTGATGTTATATTGTTGACAGAATTGCGCAATGTGCATGGTCATGGGATGCCAGCTATCAGCAAACGGTTCTCGTAGGCGCGGTTCTAGGGCCAATATTTTTTTTGGGGGGGGGGGGGGTGGAGGGTCGATCCTGATTTTTTTGCAGGGAGGTATGCTCAATTGTAGACCGGTTGTTTTCTCCGGAAACTTCAGCTTCCAAATATCAATAGGAGGAGGGGGGCTCGTACCATATTTTCAATGGGGGAGCGCTGTTAAAATCCTACAATCATTCACATTATTAACTACAGTGTAGTGTACACATACCACCTTCTCTAGACTATTTATTGAGGGAGACACTGTTCGCATGTGACGTCACCTCTACATTTTTTTGAGAGATTTGGTGGGTTTTTTTTTTGGGGGGGGGGGGACTAGATAAACTTTTGGGGGGCTAAAGCGATTATATGCAAATTATTTTAGTGTACTACAAATACTAGTCTGCATCAATTAAGATTGTTTAAGGGCTTACATTATTTCTTAAAAAACCCAGTCAATCAGTTAATCAAAAGTCGTAATTTGTATTCATTATCATCATGGAAAGTTACATGGTTAGTCGCATTACACCGGATACTCGCATTACCGGTTACTCACATTTCAATTTTGACACCTCCTGATGACACCACGCTCGGTATCATTTACATTTCTGTTATCAATTCAATAGTTGTTACTAAGGGAAGAAGGAAAATATGAAATGGCAAATACAGAATCAATTTCGTTTGGCTGCATTATCAAAAACTTGATTTTTGGGTAATGATGCAACAACATTACACCCACACTAACTTCTATATAAGGAGCCGTGGTCCCAAATTCGATATTGTTTTGAGAAGATCTTAACTTAAAGTATCGAAGTATAATATAGTTTTAATTAGGCCAGTTCTGTGTAAAAGGAACCAACCATTTCAACTTTGAATATTGAAAGTTGATTTTTTTTCCAATCAAAGACCACCTTTCGTAATCTGATTTTTTTGCACAGAAAATGATGAAGGATTGGCTAATAAATATTATATCCTGATCCTTACATGTGCATGTTAACAATAGCTTAAAAGTACAACACAAGCTCGGGAATGAATTTCATTTTTGGGGGTCATGCCTCGGTTTGCTTGGAATCGCCCATATACAGGCAATAAAGTCTGGTTTCCAGACCAACAGATAATTCTGACTTAGCCAGGTAGCTGTCACATTGAAAAAATAGAACGTGACGCAGCGAAACCTGTCAAAGCGAAACTATTTTCAAAGCGAAGTTATTCCTTATACTTTTCATTGAAGCGTGCCTCAGTTTACTCCACTGAGTCACACTTTAACAATGCGCATGCGCCTAGGCTGATCGCTTGAACACTTTGTACCAACTTGAACGTTTAACCTTAAAGCTATTTTTATGTAGGGATAGGCCTATTCCACTACAAGAAGCAATACACCTGAACTCGCAGTGTTCACGTATGTATACGTGCAGGTAAACAAAACAGTTCCGAATTGTACATGTCGTATGCAGTGACTGGCTTATGCACAGCTATACAGTTACGTACCCTTTCAGTTAACTGTTGTTCATTTTGAACATATCGCTGGAATTGCGACCTGTGAGTGATTGGTTTAACTGGCAGATCTGTAAAGGAAATATGTGAACTGCATTCTTTTCTGAAAGGTACGTTTCAAAATGGCTTTTAGCTGCGGGATAGCAGCTATCTTTACTTTCGTGATCAGCATATCACACTAGACTTATCTACCGTATATCTGTGAAAGAGATCTGTGAACAGCATTCCTTTCTGAAAGGTTCGTTTCGAATGACTTTTTGTGAGTGTATATCTCATTCTTACGTAATAAACTCCACCACCCCACTGCTTATAATCATGGACGAAATATATATACCCGTATTACAAAATCTCCACGCCAGCAGTTTCCTGGTCTGATATTCCTTTTCTGTCTATCTCATACATACGTCGACAGAAATTATTGCCATGATTGATACCTGATAGCTGATCCTATAGCTATGGTGTTCCTGTAAGAGGAATATATAGCCGGATTCATCACCTGGTATAACATTGTGCAAACAATGAATGCTTTTGAATGCAGTGGTAAAAATAATTTCAGGAATAATTTAACGAGGTGGCAGATGGAATGTTGGAAAAGCCGAGTTGAATGGAAGCTTTCATTGTCACAATATGAAAGTATTATTTATATTGCACGAGTGTGAAACATTTTTAATTTGTTTTATTCAACACCTGAATCAATCACTTTCATCTGATTATTCAGAGCCATTAACAGTTTGACCGTGCAATGGAACTTCCATTTACCATGGAATAGAACTTCTGGTTTTTGTAGTGTGGCCGAACAGTAGTCCATGTAATAGACCATGTCGAAAGCCATTACAATTGAGCAGATTCGCTGATTAATTATGCAAGACAATCTTGACCTCTGCATTTTGACTAATCAGCGGGCGCTTTTTTATATCGGGTCTTTGGTCATTCACCCGTTGCGCGTCATAGAAATAGATTTTAAAAATACCTGTGTCACGCGCTCTGCATCATGTTACGTGATATGTGCCCGGCTGTTGCTGTATTACAAAACACTGCTTTCGAATTGACCAATCAAACCATTAGCCCTGATTTGGGAATGAAATGACGTTACGGTTTTTTTTTATAAAATCGACTCTGATTGGCTGGCGCGCGGTTTGCATATATCTGCATGGTTAGACATATCAGACGTTATACATGAGACTTGGCTCCGTGAATAACGGGTGATACTCAGGATAGCCTGGCCGCGGGTTCGTTCAATAATTCAATGACACGTGATCAGCGATCACCAATCAGATGACAGTTTTTCAGGCGTTATATATCAACTAAATAGTCTAGGCACACAAAATAAGTGCCAAGTGTAAACAGGTTACCAGCTGAGCTGATTCCTTGGTCGCTGAAAAATAAACGGACAGTTTCATTTGTTACAGACATCTTTTACGATGGCTACAAACCAGATTTCTAAAAGTGACACCAAGACTCACTGCAGTTCTGTTGCGTCGATTGGATCTTCTATGTACGCCGTGCCTGATGATTTAATAGAGACAATTTTCCTACACCTTAGTGCGTCTGATCTGTGTCACGTGGCATCATGCAGCCGTTGGCTACGCGACGCAACCAATCAGGATTTATTTTGGCGCCCTCTCTGTCAACGTGCAGGATGGGAGCACTACGGCACCACCACAGACCTGGCCAAGATAGCTTCCTACGGACCTTCCGAGCAAGCACCTGATGGCGCTACTGAAGCAAGTCACGACAGCGTCACCTTCCAAAATGAAATGATCGTGACTGATGACAACACAGAGAGTTTAACCGGCACATGCAGGTGGCCGTGGAAAGGCGTATACATGAGAGCTTACCATCTGAATAGAAACTGGGCTTCAAATTGGTCTCATTTCAAGAAATTGGATCTAGCAGATATCGATACTTTCACAACTCCTTTCCCAAAAGATGCTATTGTCGATGGGGATCTTCTGGCACTGTGTTCTTCCGATGAGACAGTCCACGTCTTTGACATTCGGAAGGACACCCTTCAGTGTGTCATACGTGAGAATGTAGCCCACGCGATGGGAATGATCAAGATCAAAGATGGCGTAATGGTGGCGGGTTGTCTGGATGGGAGAGTCCGTGTGTTTGATGCAAAGACAGGGCAGATGCTACATGTGACGGAAGAATGCTGGCCATTGGGATTCAAGTCATTGTTCTTTGACGGTGAATTGATCATCGCTAGTACCTATGCGAGGATGAGTTTCTTTGCTTGCTACATGTGTGTGTGGGGTGTCCAAGACGGAAAACGACGCCTGCTTACAATGGATAATCTGACAGCGAACGACGCCTGGTGTGACATAGATTACCGGAATAAGCTGCTGGCTGCTGCCCACTCCGAGAACTACATTCACGTGTGGGATGCGAGGAGCGGAGAGTGTTTGCATCAACTAAAATGCCCAGGGCAAAAGTCACAAGTCAGACTTGGGGATAAGGTTATCGTAGGTTTGAGCGCCGACCCCAATAGTGATATGTACGTCATTAGCATTTGGAGTCTGGACACCGGAGATTGTCATAAGGAGATATCGTTTCCGTGTGTTCGACTGTGCACTCCATACTTGGTGAGTGATTTGATAATAATACAAGAACACTTGGAAACCCGTAGTATGATGTTCGCTTATGATCTTCGTGGAACATTAGTCACTAAAAATGCATTGCTTGAGTACAAGGTCTGTCGAACCTTTAAAGAGGGAAATGGAAGCAAGTGCTCCTTCAAGGTGTCAATCAACCTGGGACAAAAACGGTACAAAGAGTTCATCTTTGCAGCCACTGCCTTTGGTCTAGTACGACTCTCCGCTGTTAATTCTGACCTGCTCACGACTGTCTCCCTCTGGATGGACGAAATCAGAATGATTCGCTATGATTTTCGTAATAAGAGACTCCTCATCCATCATTACTGGTAATTCCGTGATGACATCTGGTAAAACAGATTGCACTTGCGATGATAAAGACTTAATAAAAGGCCGACATCAATTCCCAGAAACACTGACAATAGGTCCAATCCAGATCTGGCTTTGATGTGTGTACTGTATGCATTTGCCTTGCTGGATTTTAACTCGAAGTAGATTCCATTGTTAATAAATGCACTTCATAAGAAGGGCCCAGTATCTACTTTTATGTACATTCTTTACATTCTATGTAATAATTTATTTGATAATAATAAAAAAGCGTGGCGACCACAACGTCAATATGTTGTTCGCTTATGATCTTCGGGGAAGATTAGTAACTAGGAGACCATTAAAGGTGTCAAATTTCCGTCAAATGTTCAACGAAGGAAAGGGAGGTAAGTACCCCTTCAAAGTATTGATCGACACAAAGGCTGAGGAAAAATGGTACAAAGAGTTCATCTTTGAAGCCACTCCCAATGGTTTGGTACGACTCAGCATCAGCGCTCTTGATCCTTACCTAAGCGAGACCCACATCGTGTGGATGGACGACATCAGAATGATTCGCTATCACTATCGCAATCAGAGACTCCTCATCTATCATTACTGGTGAACCAGTGATGACACTCTACCACGTTGTACGTACACACTTATGTATATACGGTCAAAATGGGTACCGGGAACTAAGTTAAAAAGCGACAATGGTCATTAGAAATCACAGTACCCCATATGAAAAAAACGTTATGTGGAGTATAGTACGAGATTTCATTAAAAATAAAGTACAGCAATAGTAGAGATGTAACTGTGGACAACAGTGGTACAAATAACCTCGGGGCGAATAGCACCCGAGGCGAACGTCATATCCCATATCACACCAGTCAACAATTGTTAAATATACATGTACACTTAACATCCCCCAAATTAAAAATTGTATATGTTTTTGGAATATCGCTCCATATGTATGGATGTATACACCTTTTAGACTTTAAATGACACCATGATCATTTTGGCACTTTCATGCACGACTGACAAGGGGCTAAATTTGCAAATTTTGCGAAAAACAGCTTGAGCACTCAAATGCAGTGTTTTTAACTGGAACAAAAGCTACCAGAGGTCAAGGCGTTTGTTGAGATACAAACGCAGAGTGGTCGGGCCGACAATTATTTCATTAGACACAGCCCAGTTACGTAATGAATAATTTTGTCAGAACAAAGGATCATGAAAATCTAACCTTTCCAGTAAAACCAATGATTCTGTTTCAACAAAAATGTATTAAATTTCAGTGCATGTATACATTTTATGTACCCGTACAAGTTGTTTCTAGTTTGATGACGTCATTAGTCCAAAAAGGGAAAGTGAATATTGATTTAGTTCGTTTCATTAATGAAGTTAAAATAACGTATGAAAATATGGAAAATATAAGTGTATGTATTTATAACACCTGTTTAATGACGTCACAGCATTAAAGGAATCATGCAATGGGATTAGAAATAGGATTTTATGACTTATATACATTTAAAACAGGTTTTTTTTTGCCATGTAACTGACTTTCCACCTCCTTTGTAGCAGTAAAAGGGATAAATTTCAACATTTTAGTTTTTATGCCAATGAACATTTCCAAATTCATGAGCAAAAGCGTAATGTCATTCAAAGCAGAACAGTAGTCTCCATAGCTTTGTGTACAATATATATACATCTTTTCATTTTCTTGGAGTAAGTTACACTTTTTACTTGTATATCATGTTAAACAGCTTGTTTAGACAGCAGTAGTGGCCACTATTTCTTCAGAACTTTTTTTGTTGGTAATTTTGAAGGACGAACTTTTGTACTGTTTATTATGCACTTTTGACTTGTGTGACAAAAGCAAAATAGCGCGCCCTCTTACATGTATTTATGACAGGATTTGCTAACAATTGAAAAACTACCACTTTCTTGTCACTTTCAATGAAAACAAAGTATAAATATCTTGTATGTAGCGTTGCAACACTGAATTTCCACTGCATGTTTCCTTTAAAGATCCAAAGGTCAACATTGTAACGGATATCATTATTTGAAATAAAAAGTCTTTAAGACAGGGATCAAATGATACAATAAAAAAATGATCTTTTTCAAATTCTCCCTACAGCAACTTCCGGTCTGATGACGTAATAATTTTGAAACTTTGCAAAGTTATATGCAGGCATGCAACTGGGAAGTCACAAAAAAGAGGAAATTAAAATTTTTCCTAGACTTTTTACAGTGTTTTTTAAATTTTAAATGACACACACTGGAATTAAAAAAGAAGAGGAAATCAGCTGATCCGAGAAAAAGTTGCATTCCTGTGGTTGACAAAAAAAATAACAAGGGGTGATTTGCTGAAATTTGGACGCTGATGGTTTTTTAAATTAAAAACAAAGGAAACCTCATTTGATGTAATGCTAGAGGGCGCCCTTTCAAATGAGGTCATAATGCTGTTTTTGTGTCCTTTCTTTCCATTCTAAACACTTCCATAATTTATTTGCTTATATTTTTTCGAGTGAAAGTCAAAATATTATGGGGAACACATATGTACATGTGTCTTAGGGAACGTCTCAAAAGCAGGAATACACCCATTCCGTAAGTTATGTTCCTTTCAGGAACACTGTGCTCTCCCAGCGCGTTTCCTACTGGAGCGGGCCATTCCAGAGTAGCGAGCACGTACATGTACATCCAAGGCTTAACACCTGGCAATCCTAGGCATGTTCCCAGTTGGAACAGGCGATGTTCACTGATGGAACATTCCAAACATTCCGACTTTTGAAACGTTCCCTTAAAGTGACATTACCAAAGAATTAAAAACAAAACCTCAAAAGAAAATCAATCCAGACGACGGGTTACATTTAAAATGAGAATGTTCTCTTTATTGCATTTACATGTACATGCACTACATCACAACACCTGTCTTTGAGTGGGTTTAGATTGTAAACAGCCCCCTCGCTTGACACATTATGACCAGGCAGGTAGCAGCATGCAGACGACATTGGGGTGGCGATGCAACTCTGCAGAAACATTCTAGTCGAACAAGCCTGTATAAAAAGAAAAATTACATGACAAATTTAAAATGATGAAACTTTGAGCACTACTAAGGGGCCATTTAAAATTTTTAATGTTTTTAAATTTAAATTTTTTGTTTTTGGAAATTGTTTTGACCCACCCATCCAGATTTTCAATCTTAAAATTTAGATTTTTCATTCAATAACAAAAAACTTAAAAAAATGTCCACTTCAGAGCACGTGCGAATCCATCTTCACTCATTGGCACGATATAACAAAACGATTGTTGCCTGCTGTGATGTGGGATATGCCGTTTTTAAAGGGAATGTACATCATTGGCTTTTGCTGTAATTTTCAGAAATGAACTATTTGAGGGGTTAGTATAATAGATCAAATATTGTTACACTGACATGTTTGAAGTTTTGTGTTCGAAAATGCTGAAAAAACCAAGAAAAACAAAAATGTTCAAGTAGTCTGGTTCCTTGACTCCACTAAAGATAAAATGGATCAATTTATAGATGCCGGAAAATTGTAAGGTAAGGGAACCAGTCTAGCTGGCCTGCACCCGTTCATGAACATGTAACCAATAGCAAACAAAATTTGGACTGAAGAAAGTGTAAAGTTGGAGCAGTAGTTGAAAAATAGTTAGGTTTTTCCAACGGTGGTCGGCCGATCACCGTTGGAAATGTATACAAAAATACCATTTTCTTGAAAATGACTTCACACCAGGTGCCATAATTTTACAGGATGCTTAAGACTGTCATTTACCAACATTCTAGTAAGGTATTTCGTAAAAACGTGGTAGTTTTATTTTTCGATGTTTGCAAATGTTGTATACTCCCTTTAACGCTCAATCAGAAAATAAATCACAATAGGCTTTACTCCGGTACACAAATTGGGCCACCGGTATCAAATGCTCAAAAGGAGCAATGCTCATAGCGTTTTTTTTGGCAAGGTATGCACATCTATAGTGGGAAATGTGTGATAGCTTTGTAGTGTGAGCGTTGGCATTTTTTTTTTTAGTGTTAGGCCAAAAGAAAATATATTCGGTCTTTGGTCAGACCAAAGTTCCGGAATTGATGCGGCCACGCGTTTTTTCTTTTTTTTTTTCTTCAAGCTTGGATTGTACAGACAAGGTGGGGTACTATTTTGCTTTTTTGGGGTCCTCATGTACATTGGTGTCCTCCATAATTTGCCTTGGTGCTCTCGATCATTTGCCTTGGTGCAATTTCCCATTCCTTGTTCTTTGGTAAAAAAAAATTGAGGAGGTGCGGAAATAGAGGGCACTGTTGGAGCTACCGCGGAACATTTTGGGAAAAAAAAAAAGATTGACGCACATGATTAAAATCGAAGCGCGCGCTGACCAGAGACCGCCTTATTTTTTTTTTTGGCCTGATCAATTTTATTTTTTTTTTCAAAATGGCTGCCAATACGCTTGTAACTGGATCAATTAAATGTGGTAACACGCATGTTTTGGCTGCCACTTGTTTTTAACAGTGATTGCACCCAAAATGTTGGAACCGCTGCAATGCTATCGCATATTTTCCAACTACAGGGGTGCATACCTTGCCAAAAATTGCAATCAGCATTTTTCCCCTCATTTGATACCGACCAAACCCCCAGGCTGATGGCGTACAAGTCTTGTGAGGACTTGTGATGGACTCAATCACAACGCTGAAGGGGTGGGGCTACTCACCGAATCCCATGTCATCATCAGATTCCTCCTCTTCTTCTTCTTTCTTCTCCTCTTTCTTCTCGTCAGCTGAATAGAAAAAAAACCACACACACGCACACTCAAATCTCTAAATTATAAATGAATGTAGTACATGTTGTAAACATACATTCTGTGCCAAGTTGTCCTTTAACTCTAACCCTCCAGGGTATATTGGCTTGAAACCCTGCCAAACGCAGCAACATGCAACACTTGTCAAAATGACAAGCCTGCCCAGTGTAGCAAGATCCATCAGGTCAAAAGTCTCAAGGCCAAACTGCCTCAGAGTCTGTGGTCCCCCAACGCAGCAGGATACAACTCTGGCATTGTTCTATGAGACTAGCCCTCAGTGTCTCAGAAGTGGCCGGTTTATGCACTGGTGTTGGTAGCATTTTCAATCAAAGTGCACCAGACTTTTCCACCTGCTGCACTGTGATGCGTCTGGCAGGGTTAGGGTTAAGTCAAACGACTGTTTCATCATTTAAGAGCTCCCAGTGTACAAAAAGCAGGATTGCCGGGCTGTGACTGTCTATGTAACTTGATGCAGCTACAATGTATGCTTTAACCCTTACCCTACTTGACCCTCCAATGCATGCCAATATGTGCCTCAAGAAAATCTCCTATGTTTTTTGCATGGCCCTCCAATATCTGCCATGTCATTTCAAGGGTAACTGGACAGGCACTCCAATACATGCCACAGAGAACAATGAGAGTCCTCTGATAACAAAGTGAGTGCCCCCAGCTGGTCAGTATCAGGCACCCTCCAGGGCCTCCAACTCCTGCCAATTGGAGCCTTCACTGTTAAGACTTGTTATCTGCCAAAAAACTGCAGCTGGAGGGCATTGGCATAACCAACTGACATGCAGTAAACTACCCTCAGAGAGTAAGGGTTAACTGTAGAGCGATAGCTGCAATGTTGCCACTTACAAAATTGATTTTTACGTTCTCCCACTGACGTTTTGGTTATTTCGTAGCAATGGGGGTGTGGCCATTTTATGTAAATTAGACCGTCTGTATAAGTTTGAACAAAACAGCGGTTCCCATTTGCCGCAGTAGTCGCGCCTTGGCGCCCCGTATCACTGCGTCGCGAATGTTTACAACCGTAAGGCGAACCTTTGAACTACTTCTCGATCGCTGATTGTTCCCTAGGAAAGCGATATGATGCTGGGTCACCGTCACCGTACGTGGTTACAACCGTTGAGAGTGCCTTTGAACTATTTCTTGATTGCTGATTGGTTCCGTAGAAAAGCATACGTAGAAAATAAAGAAAAACTTAAACCGCTGATACGAAATGGCCAAGACGTTAGTGCGAGTAGGCCCGCTGGTCTAATTGTTGTGCCATTAGAGGGCGCACTATGCACCATCCAGTATCGATCATTAGCGCCTTGGGCCAAGACTATGTATATTTCTGTGTAGAGCAGGTCCATGCAATCGGCCTCGTGGGTCTTACCAGCAGCTTCCTGGGCAGGGGCAGCGCCTCCGCCCACCGCGGGTCCGGCTGATGGGCTGCCCACGTTGGCCAGGAGACTCTTGATGTCTTGCCCCTCCAGGGTCTTGGCAAACAGGCCTGGCCAGAACGGCTCCACGCTCACACCGGCAGCTTTGATCAGATTGCTGATTTTGTCGGCCTATGGGGGAAACAAAAGATTTTGACAGAATGTAGTATTCAGAATTTCAGATGCTACTGGTACTTTGGCGGTTGTGGATGTTATATCTCAACTTACCCCTAGAACTATTGGGCTCTTTGAAAGCAGAGCCCCATGGCTAGCTGGAAAAGAAACAAATCAAGTCCATGCCAGCTACGTGGATACTGAGTGGGGGTCCATTATTTGAGAACGAAGCAACACAAAAGGAATGGGAGTTGCTGAAAAATTCTAAGTCCAAACCAACTACAGTCGACTCCCGTTATAACGAGCTCGGTCATAACGATAACCCGGATGTAACGAGCACATTCTCCCAGTCCCGATCAATTTGTGTACATTACTATGGGGAAATATTTGGTTATTACGTGCACGGACATAACGAGACTTCGGATATTACGACGATTTTGGCTGACCCAATGCGAGGAAAAGCATTGTTCTCAACCCATTTACAGCGACATCTTTTCAAAACTACGGGCATTGCAGCTTGTCAACGACAGACCTTTTGTCCCGAAACGGGTATCATGCTCCCGTCTTCCAATTCAAGCAACACACTTAAAGGGAAAATACAACATTTGCAAACATCAAAAAATAAAACTACCAAATCGTTTTGAAATACCTTGCTGGACTGTAAGTGAATGACAGTGTAAAGCATCCTGTACAATCATGGCACCTGGTATACTGTCATTTTCAAGAAAAGTGGTATTTTTGTATCAATTTCCAACGCTGATCGGCCGATCAGCGTTGGAAAAAGCTGGCTTTTTTCAAATACTGGCCCCAGTTGACCATCGCACTTATTTGCAATCGATTACACACCTATGAACGGGTACAAGCCAGCTAGACTGGTTCCCTGACCTTACAATTCACCAATATATGTAAACTGCTGTGTTTCTTCTTAAATGGAGTCAGGGAACCAGACTACAGGAAAATGATTGTTTTTTCTTGGTTTTTATAGCATTTTCGAACCCAAAACCTCGAAAAAGTCAGTGTAACTATATTTGCCATATATTTCCAACCCCCCAATTCCATCCATTTCTGAAAATTACAGCAAAAGCAAATGATGTATATTCCCTTTAAGCTTCACCCATCAATGTACCTTTGTAAAGACTTCAACCCAACGTTATTTCATCTCACCGATCTTTATAAATAAATTCAATGGGACTGTGATAATCGGCACAGTGGACCGCTGGTAGTCGCTAATCCCCCGCTGCGGTTTCCCTTAGCGTGACCAGGTTTGAAGTTTGCTTACGACTGCGGTACCACGTTTCTATATTATTACAAACTAACAATAGGGGGCGCTCAGGAGTTAAGTGTCAACATTGTATTTGTAAGGAATAGCCTTTAGTACTACCGCCCGAACATCGGGTGCGTAATTGCTCCCTATAATTGTTGGCTTGTGGCTATAAAAAAAAATACGAAGTAAAGAACACAGCATCACAAAACAAACGGCTCTTTTCAGAGCCACCACAACTTCCAAAAAGAGATAATTCAGTCTGTCTTCAAAAAATAAAGTTTAAAACATACCGTGGTTCCCACCCCCAAAAAAGAATCCGAACGAATAAAAAAATAAAATCTTAAACAAATTAAGAACCCCTCCGGCCCCGCCGAAAAAACAATCCCAATGAAAACAGGTTTCCAAGATCTTCAAACGCCCCACCACATATACATTGTACAAATTTTAATCCAAAATTATTACTTTTGTTTATTTATTATTATTATCTTAAAAGAATCCCTCCCGACGAACAATAATCACCAATTGCTGCGAAATTACACATGGAGACACTTAAACCCTGAAGTAATATTAGCGCCCTCTCTTGCCCGATTCCAGCAAATGCAAAACGAAAGCAAAATGTCACTTGGCACGAATGTGCGCTATAGTTAACCGAAATAATTACAATTTCAAAGAATCCCTTCAGAAAAAATAATACCCAACTGTTCCAAAAAGTCAACAACCAAAAGGCATCTAAGGATCAGGAGTCATTAAAACCCGGAAGTAATGCATGTATTGGCGCCCTCTCTTGCCCGATTCCAGCAAATGCAAAATGAAAGCAAAATGTCACTCGGCACGATTTGTGCGAGTGACCTACTTGCCTGATTCTTCTCAGCGATGATGCCTTTTCCTCCGGATTCAGGTCCTCAAATATTGAACAATGTTCCCTCAAAGGTATTTTATTTATTTCATTTATTCATCACCATCAGTTAAATATTTAATATACATTATTAACAGACGAACATACCAACAAATGACCATCTTTTCATGTCTTCGGACGTGCGTTACACGATTAAAACACGCACGCACTTGTACCGTACCTTGTGCACAACGAATGGGGAAAACTGCGCTCCGGTTTTAGCGAGGTTCCGGCTATAACGACAGTATTGTGAAAGTCCATCGGACCTCGTTATAACGGGAGCCGACTGTACCCTGTTGGCGGCTACGCGGTTACGAAGTGGGAGTGCAATGAAGCATGACGCATAGTACATGTACATACATGACATACAAGTAGCGCTGATGATGTTTATTGAGGTCAACCAACCGTGACCTCGTAGCCGGTTATGAGGTGGATAGATCGAGTGGCGGGGTATTTTGCAATTGTGCCTGTTATCCTCTAAACTACCCCCCCCCCCCTTCACGGGTGTTATCCTCCAAAGTGCTCCCCCCCTTCACTGGTGTTATCCTCCAAAGTGCTCCCCTGGTACAACTATAGAATGCAGGGCCACTTTACTCTACATCCGCGCCTCCGTACGGCTGCGTGGAGGCGTGGAACCGCAGTCGACCTACCTCCGAAAATCGATCGTGGAGTCGTGGAGCCGCGAGAATTGCGCCCTCTGTCGGTGCGCGTCTCTGCGACTCCGCGACTCCGCGCCTCCGCCGCCACTCCAGTGCCCCGCGTCTCCGCGATTCTGCGACTCCAAGACTCCGCGCCTCCGCCACTCCAGACAGTGCCCCGTCGCCCTCCTCCCTTCCTAATTTGCGCGCCCATTTAAAGCGATTCTGCGACTCCAAGACTCCGCGCCTCCGCCACTCCAGACAGTGCCCCGTCGCCCTCCTCCCTTCCTAATTTGCGCGCCCATTTAAAATGGATATGGATGCTTCGTTCTCAAAAAAATTCCGCCGAGAATTGCGCCCTCTATCGGCGCGCGTCTCTGCGACTCCGCGACTCCGCGCCTCCGCCACTGCGGCCACTCCAGTGCCCCGCGTCTCCGCGATTCTGCGACTCCAAGACTCCGCGCCTCCGCCACTCCAGACAGTGCCCCCAACACATTTACAAGCACGCCCTCCCTTCCGATCCTTCATGAGAAGCTTCCTTCGCTGTACTTAGCACTTTTTGCAGGTTTGCATATCTATTACTCCTATTCCATCCACGCCTCCAGGCAAAATAAAAAACCTTGCTTCGGCGTGGCCCTGCATTCTATAGTTGCTCCGCTCCCCTCCCCCCCCCTTCACTGGTGTTATCCTCCAAAGTGCCCCCCCCTCCCCCTCACTGGTGTTATCCTACAAACCTGAAAAACTGCCCCCCCCCCCCCCCTTTCACGGGTGTTATCCACCAAACTGCCCCCCCCCCCCCCCCCTCCTTGCAGTGTGGTTTTGTAATACACATGTGTTGCAACCAACTTACCGTGATGGGGACTTCATCATCGTGAAGGATCAGGGCGCTGTAGACGCAAGCAAGCTCAGAAGTGGAGGCCATTTCTGACACTAGAGATATTCAACTACGGTTTGATGCAAAAAGCAAATTTGGATGGTATCCAGAAAGGGTACACGTCGCCGGATTAGGCCTTAGCTCAGGACGAGAACGGTGCACCTTCGTAGATGGTTATTGCAAAGAGACCGTGCAACTGTGGTTATTCCATTATCACCGAGGGTGGTGCTTTTGTAGGTCCATAACATGTTAGTAATTTTTCAGGACAAATTAAACGTAACTACAGGGATATTTTGAATGAAGCATTTCTTTTATAATAATTAAATTGACTTTTACAAGAAAAAGTACATAGTTCCTGTTTCTTTTTCAAAAGATTTGGGTTAAGACAATTTACATCCCTAGTGGTAAAATGTTACGACTTGAAAATACGCCCTCTATAGGCAATTATTTCTAGGTATGATCAAAACAAGATGGCGTCCGTCCGGAAGAAAAAGGAATTGCGTCAAAACCAATTTTCGGAGTTGAGGTTTTCTTGTCCAGTTATTCTTGCCCAACTTTTTGTCACACTTACTTGTATCAGTATAGTATCATGTCAGCTTGTCATCAATGTGAAAAACAAAGGCGGTGATTTGATCCAGGAGTCGTTACACGGGAACCCAGCGGAGAACACAATCTCTTTGAAATTTCAGAAATTGGATGGAACATTGTTGAGCATGTTGATCGATTTTAAATCGGTAAGCTGTCCGTATTATGTACTATTGCTCAATTTTTTGGACTGAATATGATTTCATGAATGTATTTTGCAATGATTTCATGTGTATTTTGCAAGTTTGCTGAGTGATTGTTTTCTGTAACTATTATTCAATTGTGTACGATTTAACAATAACAAAAATAACAGGTTTAAATACCCCCGCCCCTTCCCCCCCCCCCCAACATTGCCCAACATGCCCAATTGGAAAAAAAAAAAGTTTAAATAGCTGACATGGCTGACTGAACTATGCCCATTTTTCACTTTTATTTTCAGCTTTTTGTATCCACTGCCATGTGAAACATGAAAACGTGGGAATACATTTGTTTAACTTTAGGGCCTAAGTGCTAAGCAGCTAGTATTTTTTAGTAGTAAGAGTAAGATGATTTCTAGCCCCACTAGTGTGGCCGTCGGTATGCTGCGCTGAACCTAAGGCCACACACCGTGTATGCAAATTGCTTGTCGAGCGCGCAAGGGCGCGAGTTGCAAATGCGACGGCTGTTTCCTGTACCATGCATTTATCGTCAGGGGGCCACGTGCACCGATCTCTATTCAGGATCTACGGCACAGGAAACAGCCGTCGCATTTGCAACTCGCGCCCTCGCGCGCTCGACAAGCAATTTGCATAAACGCGACGTCACAGCTTGAGGTCATCTCTTGTCACATTCAAAATGGCTGCCACCACCAGACGTTTCACGAGTGCATATGGGCTCCAGAAAGATTGAAGAATATCTCGGAAAATGGAACATCATTAGACCTAAGCATCCCAGAAGTGATAGGTGAGACATCATAGAATACAACCATAAGAAAGTAAGAAACTGAGAATGTAAGAAACTGCCCTGAATTTTATGAAAACTTCGTCCTCAGTAGCGCGCGGTACCACGGTGTGTGGCCTTACATGTAGGTTCAGCGCAGCATACCGACGGCCACACTAGTGGGGCTAGATGATTTCATGCATAGGAAAAAATTCCATACTGGATCACCACTTACCTGCATGCCGCCAAACACATCAATTTTCACCTCACCTTGTGATTTCACCCCAAGAGGAATCCAGGAAGCCTCGGTAACGCGAAAAAAAAAAATTAGGAAAAATGTAGTCCCACTAACTGGGGCGCTAGTAGAACTCCTTTTTTGACATTTCAGATGTTGGTCTGTCGTACTAGCGTCCCACTAAGGAAGTATTGTCAGTGTCACAATTTCAAAGTTCACCACAAAAATCACGCAAAATACTTGACAAAAATACCTTTGAAAGCACCTACTGGCATCTCCACAATAAAGGAAAGGAGAGGGTGAGAATAGGGAAAGTAGAGGGATTAGGGAATAACCAAAAAGGATGCAACTTTTTGCCCTTGAAAATCAATTGAAAAAAGTGGTGGCCCAGTAGTACGGAATTTTTTTCCGGGCAAGAGTTTTGATTTTTTGAGGGAAATTTGGGGGTAAAATGACGATGACAGTGCAGCGACAGCACACAACCCGAAAATAATGATGGCAGTCACTGCGCGATGTACCATGAGCAAGGAACATACCGCGCAGGAAAATCGTGATTTCTACCCCAAGAAACTGTTCAAAATTGCAAAAAAAAAGTGTCACTAGAATTAGGTAAAGTCTGCTTTTGATTGTAAAGGTGATTTTTGAGCAATAAAAACATTTTTCAATCTAATTTGATCAAAACAAAATAGGGGCCCTACACTACACGATCGCCAAAAATACTGCATTCGACTTTCATCAAACAAACATTGAAAGAATCTTAGTTTGTACTGTTTAGTGTGAGGCTTGAGATGATGCAGTTCATGTAAACATAAGTTAGTTGGGCCAGTTATAACCGGACGTTTATAGCACTAGTAGTTGTACCATAAAATTTAAGTTTAAACACAGAGAAACATGATTATACTAGTGTATATTGATTTTTTTTTTTCAGGAAGTGCAGATTTTTAAGATGATTGTTCTCGGGGAGGAGGAGAGAGCAGACGAGAGCCAGTACCAAACGATGTGCTTCATCTTCAAGTTCATCAAGTCGGAGTTTATCTCGGCAGATGCAATGTCCAAACTACGACAGGTAAAGCCTGTCGGACCAAAAAACATGTCCCATATCGCAGCAGTTAAGGCCGAGGGAATGAAAGTCATAGAATACCGTCCACCGCCCGCATGTGCTTAAAGGTGCTGCCAAATTTTTTCATGATTTAACGCAGAATAGTCGTATTCTGTGTACCACATTTGCGCGAAACCCAATCTGCCCATGCGTACAGAGTACGGTGAACACGCGGTACGTATACAATACGTGCATTCAATGTACATGTTTAGCGCACGGTTACCAGCACTAGCACTGCATGATACCAACGACTGCCTGTGGCCGTTTTCCCAAACACTTTCTTAATGTCTACGTAGTGACATCATGCAATTTGCCATCCGAACATTTTATGTGTACATGTATACTGCATATAAAGAGCTGTTTACATTATACCTATCAGTGTGATTTTACCTGATTCTGGTTAGTGCTTCAGAATAATGAATAATGAAAAAAAGCCTCATTGTTTTTCAAAATCAGCAGGACGGTATTTTATGACTTTCATTCCCTCGGCCTAATTAACTGTGTGTAGAAAACAGAGATTGTTCTGTGAGTTGAAGATATTATACAAATATTGAATGCTTCGAGTGGTGTAGTAAAACTAGCCTCCCGAGGTGATCCATGGACATTCTATTCGCCTCGGGAAAATAGAATGGTCCATGGATCACCGAGGGAGGCTAGTTTTACTTTACCACGAGATAAAGCATCCAATATTTGTTTTATAACACTTCACCCACAGATTCTGCTTGATTTTAATATTTTAAATTATTTAAATCTGAACACAGTTGAAATAAACTTCAATTTCAATACAAAATTGGTGGAAAATGTATTTCTCTCTTCCAAACTACCCCTTCACGAAATGTATGTACCCAAGTCTGCGGCGCGCTCTCTTTGGAACAGTACACGCAACACGCACACCAGCATCCATTTGCACACAAATACCGCGCCGTGGAAATAGTACTTTGGTTGCTAATGGTATAGTACTTTGGTTGCTACGGGTATAGTACTTTTGGCCGTGCACAGAAAGATAGCAAAATTAGAAAGTAACATGTGACTCGCTCTCGGCCAATCAAGACACAGAATCTGTGGGCGAGGTGTTATAAATGTATGTTTATGTACGAACAATGGTAATAACCAGAAATGTTCCAGCAGATGTAATGTGGAATACCTTGCTCTGCTGAAAGTGAGGGTAGAGCTGGTACATGTACCAAATTACCACATTAGACAGTCAGATACACATTGACACGCGTCTGAGGTTTCAAACACGCTAAGGAAAGAATGTTGCAACCTGACGCTGCTTTTTTCTTCATATATCATCTCAAAGAAGGTCAGTAATTGCAAAAATGATGTTAAGACATGAATCTGGGACTGAGAAACATTTCCAGTTTTGTTAATAAATACTAAGACAATTTTCTTGACTTTCCATAGACTTTGTACACAACCGCTGATGTAGCGTCAGGTTGCAACATTCTTTCCCAGGCTAACTTTATTCGTTGACTTGCATTGATTAGGTTCTGGAGGGGTTCCAGTGGACTCTAACAGTCAATCTTTTACAGAACACATGTACATGTAGTCACTCAAATTGTTTTTTATTGAGATGTCAAACTTTCCATGTGTTTATTCCCATCTTCCGAAAGATTCAGCTTGCTAGAATTGCGCATGCGCACAATGATATGTGTCACAGGTCATTCTGGATAATCGACACTAATCAAAGGCGCATGAACGCGCGCGGAGCCGGGCGCACGACGCTCGCGTGTTAATTACAAGCAGAATGGGTGTCCGCGTAACATCGCATATCATCACATCAGCAATTTTATCCCGAATGACCTTTGACATGGACTACTTCATCGAGATACTGAACTGGCTTATTGGAACACCAGTCATTTATTTTACCATCTTTCCTTCTCTGAACTCGACAGAAAAACCCCGGCACGATACGGAACCCAGAGGAGGACAAAGGGGAGGAGCGACTGATCATGAACCTAGGGGTGGACCTGGGCCAGGCCTCACGGTTCAGCCCCTGGGTCTTCAACGTCTGCTCTGAGGCCAAAGGTCGTATCTTCACCAGGGACTCGGATTTGAAGGCCTGGGCTGCAGGTGAATATACCTTGACGCCAGAGTGTATTGGCTCTGTGCGGGAACAAGAGAGGGCGCTTTTATACCACTTTGGAGGGCGAAGTGGACAGGACACATACGGTACGCGTACTGGTTTTGGCACGTATAGCGCAAACTACAGTACTCTCAACTTATTTAACCCTGCCAGACGCAACACAGTGCATCAGGTGGAAAAGCCTGTTGATGCATGAAGCCATCAGCACCAGTGCATGAATGGCCGCTTCTAAAACAATGAGAGCTAATTCCATTGAATAATGCCACAGTTGTATCCTGCTGCATTCGGTGACCACAGACTCTGAGGCAGTTTTGCCTTGAGACTTTTGACCTGATGGATCTTGCTGCACTGGGCAGGCTTGTCATTTTAGACAAGTGATGCATGTTGCTGCGTTAGGCAGGGTTTCTAGCCAAAATACCCTGGAGGGGTAGGGTTAATTCTGAATGTGCACAAAACAATAGCGTCTTCGCGTGAGCGGCCAGCGTCGTTGGTGATGCATTCAAATGTCCCTCCAAGTGGTCTCCCCCAGCTCTCCCAACCTTTCTTACTGTTTTTCCATTTTTCTTTGACCAGGAAACAATCTCACCTACACGTCTCGGCTGGAAGCCACTCACAGCTTCCCGCTGTTCACAACCTCCCGCTGCGACGAGACCAAAGATACGGGTGCCGCGTGCGTCTGCCGGTTACCGATCTGCATCGGCTGGTACCCGTGCGGGCTCAAATACTGCCGCGGGAGGGATTCGGCAGGGAAGACGGTCAGCTACCGCTGCGGAATTAAAACGTGTAGAAAATGCCGCGTGTTCGACTATTACGTGGAGCAGAAACTGAACTGCATGTGGGAAAGTGTTAACCAGGATTGAAGTCATTGAGCCCCACTATTGGACCGATCGACTAAGCCCACTCATAAGACCTTTTCACACTAGAGCCTCTCAACCCAGGTTGAACTCAACCTTGGGCCAGCCCAGTGCCACCCCAGATTGAGTTTTTGATTTTTCAACCCCGCGTCGTTTCATACTTGTTTCGTCAAACTGAGCTTATTTCGCTCAGTTACTACTGTTTTAATCCCTGAAAAGAGTTTCAACTCTGGTTGAAAATTTCAATCCTGGCCTGGAGCAGGGTTGAGTTCAACCCGGGGAGAAATCAATCTCTGGGTTGACGCAGGGTTGGCGCTGGGTTGACATTTTTCAAGTGTGAAACCTCGCATGTTTTCAACCCTGCGTCAACCCTCAAATTTGTCTAGTGAGAAAGTGAGAAAAGGCCTATACCTGCAGACATGTCGGACATTAAAATCATGACTGTGATTGGTCAGGGTGCGGGGAGTCAAGGTGCGGGTCTGAATGGATCAGTCTATTTCGTTGGCCTTTTGGAGATGTGGTGGACACAATAAGAGGGTTCAGCTAGAAAAGTTACATGTTTTGGATGAACCATGGATAAAAAGGCGTTCAGGCATTTTCTGTGGAGTGATCTACCAAGCACTTACACAGACCCAAAATCCAAACCATAAACTTTCAACAACAAAATATCCTATAGTTTGAGTTCAGGTCTCCAAAAAGTATTCACCCTTGACGAATTTGGGTTAAGAACCATGCCTGCCACTTATAATGACGTCATGTGGAACAGTTTGATATGTAACTTACATGTATTTATTGACGGTTGAGATTTGCTTAATGTGTAAAAAGGTTTGTATTTTTGTAACTAAATGGCCATTTGTACATAAATAAAAACCTAGCTGTATAACATTTACAACATCTTTATTTCTTTCTGTTTTGCCAACGTTTGTTTGTCATTTGCGTCCCGATCCTTTGAGCATCTAGATTGCTACGACATTTATGTACCTGTATTTTAAATTGTCAACAGACTTTATATACCAAGAGTAAATGGCACCAATAGTGCAAGTGCTGTGGCCTCGTGGTCTAGAGCATTACATTTGTGGTCTTCGGGTAATTAGCTGCAGGTTGTGGGTTCGAGTCCTGCCTGGGGTTATAGTGCGTGTGCCCTTGGGCAAGGCACTTTGTCACGCATTGCTTCTCTCCACCCAGGAGTAAATGGGTACCTGAACCACAATATACATGTACCATCTCTGCCCTCACAGTGTGAGGGCAGAGATGGTACATGTACATGTATATTGTGGTTGATTCTAGCTGCTTGTGATATGGTAGACTGGTCTTAGCCCAAGACGTCAGTGATCAAGAGCAATAGTTGCATTGTTGTGTAGCCCCCTTGCATAATTTTTTTTTTTTAACTTTCTCACACTAACGTCTTGATCATTTCGTAGCAATGGGGGCAGGGCCATTTTATTTAAATAAGACCGTCTGTATAAATTTGAACAAAGCTGTTTATAGATCCATAAGATCCAGTGGGCCCACTGGTCTAATTGTGCCATTAGAGGGCGCACTATGCAACATCCACTATCGATCACTAGGGTCTTGGGCCAAGACTAATGATATGGCAGCATTGAGCTGTATACTCCCAAGGAGCTGAGACGGTCATTGGAATGCTTCATTGGCCCAATGAGCAGGGGTAATAGTGACTAGTACAGCGCATTGGGAGCTTGTGTGACATGCGCTAATAATAAGCACGGTTTAGTTTTATCTGTGACCCCATTCTAAAGCAGGTGGGAGGGATACACCTACTGCGCGAAGTACACACGACCAAATTCATTACGAATGTGCACAGTCTCATAATGCTGATGCACAAGCATCAGACGCCGTCGGCAAATTATTCAAATGTCCTCTCCTGTGGTCCCCTGAACTCTCCCAGTGTAACCATTGAGGGGGTACTTGTGCACAGAGTCCATCAATAAATGATACAGCAAACAAAAAAGTTACAAACTGGAGCCATGCATACAATCTGATTTATTACCCAAAGTTACAAACTGGAAGCAGAGGAGTCTAGCAATCACACACACATTGTTTCTGATCAACAGTAGGATGGTAAGCTCTACATGGGACACTGCTGATAATCATGGAGAACAAGAACACATTAATAAGGATGTGAATACATCTACGAGATGTCTCGTTTCTTGCTACACTTAGAATTCAAACTAAAAGGTCCATGAAACAAACTCTACATTGGAACTCATTTTGTGCAAAATATCAATTCCTCCGAATTTTATGAAAAATGATGAGACATCCCTTTTTGGTTACAATCTTTATTATAAAGTCCACTGAACAAAATATATTCTAAATACCTAAGACAGTTTACCCATTCCTATTGGTTGAGAGCCCGTCACGTGTTCGGTTTTAAACGGTTGATGGATGGCTGGTCTTAAACAGTTTTCCAGTGTCGCATATAATATGGACTCCTATGAAATCAGGTGCCAGTACCAGTACCGTTTTATTGGTTGAACGTTCACAATCCTCGCGTAGGCATTCGCAGTACTACCAGTGAGTCGGTATTTCATAGTCCTAAATTTACACTACACTGGTACATCTGCGCTGTGCGCCACATCATGCAGTACGGCGTCAATCTCCATATAAGGAGTTGTTTACCAGAGGGCGTTACCATTGTATACATGTAGCTAGAAGAGGGGTGTTTTGTTGACCGTTGACTTTTGGACCGAACAGTTTACATTGTAAATGTTTTTTCACCGAAAAGGTATTTATGAATGGAAATAAATATGTGCTTGGTCGGTATTGAACACTATGTTTAAGACCAGTTGGAGTCTGGATGCTGATAATTACCCTCGCCCAGCATTCAGACTCCAACTGCAGGGCCCAATTTCATAGAGCTGCTTAAGCACAAAATTTGCTTAAGCAAGAAAAAACAATGCTTAGTAAAATCACGTAACCCGCCAAAACTCCATGCGATGTACATTGCTTGTGACTGGTATTTAGCTGTTGTTTACTTAGCATAACAATCGAGTGGAGTTTTGGCCGGTAACCTGATTATATTAAGCAAGATTTTTTAGTGCTTAAGCAAATTTTGTGCTTAAGCAGCTCTATGAAATTGGCCCCTGGTCTTAAACAGACTGTTTAACATCTCCCCGAGCACACATTTATTCCCTTTTAAGAACAGGACTATAGAGAATATTCCCCTGCGCATGTACATGTACAGGTTTCATGGCATAGTTGCCTGTATGGTGTGACTGCAATACGCAGGCATGACACTGGGAAGTAACAAACAAAAGGGAAATCCTAAGCATTACAAGACTTTATACAGTGTTTTTTCTATTTTCAATAACATAAGTGTGAAGTGAAAAACGAGGAAATCAGCTGATCCGAGGAAAAGTTGCATAATAGTGAACACTCGGTATTTTGGGTTAAATATTTAAGCAGTCTGGGACAGTCAAAATTCAATTCCACTTCCCCTGCTATACTTTTAACAAAGGCTAGTCACCAGCAGTCAGGTCATATGTCAAGCAAGCACTGTGACTAGTCAAACTGGGTCAACAGACAAAGCAGGCAAGTTGTGGTCACAGCTGCTCTATCACTCACCCGAGGTCAAAGCATAGCTGTATCAAGTTACTTAATCAGTCCAAGGCAGTCAATCCTGCTTTATGTGGGCTGGGAATTCTTACAGGTTGAAAACAGTCACTTGATTGTTTTTGACTGCAAGGACAACTTGGCACAGAATAACTGAATGTATGTTTGCATAAGAGGGTTAAGATCCTGTTGTGTATATGTATGTTGCCTTTTTTTCCCTTTTCAGTATTAACTGCAAATGTAACTTCTAAGATTATTTACAAAAATTTACAAAGAAGTATTATGTACATGAACATTTACATGAATTTTTTACGCAGTAAGAGTAAGACTGTAGGGGCTATGGGCTCCTTGCACCAACAAGAGAGGGTGCACTTTTACCCAGCAACGACGTCCCATGGGCGGGACATGTACATTTCGCTGGTTGACGTGCGCACACCGTTCCTTGTGTGTGACGCACGGAAACCAGGGGATTTGTACTATGTACACGCAGTGGCCGCGCTTCGCGGGAAAATAATGCAGTCACGCAAGATGGCGTCGTTCGGTCACCCCAACTGTACTTTCTTCGACGGTGAGGGGGTAATTGTGAACGGACCGGATAATAATTTCACGAGGGCAACTTTTTAAGACTTGATTTTTACCCCGGCGTTTGAAATTTACCTTAAATTCACCTTTTTCTCTTCAGGTCATTATTTTGTCACAAGTGTGGACCTCATTTTGTTCCTTGGTGAAAATATAACAAAGATATAGACCCCTCAATTAAGCCCCATCCACTGCGCACATGGGGAACTACAAATGTGCCAACTGAATGCCATGCTGCATGGTCCAGCTACACTCTGCACGTACACACATATGGGACCTTTGTGCACGCATGGGCGTAAATCATGGCTGTGATTGGTCAAGTTAAGCGTCATGGCCGGTGCAGGGCTAAATGGATTGATACCGTTCAGTACGCTTGGGGGGGGGGGGGTGCTGTTGAGGATTTTCTGGGCATTAGACACCCCCAAGCAATGGAATGGCACACACATAGCATGTGATCTTATACCAACAATTGTGATGCGATCAAGCTAAATGAGTCGTTTGTAGACCCCAGTCAAATTTTGTTTGTTACAGATTTGAAAAGAGCACAATCTCAGCATTACTGCTGTGAAAACCACATGCTGATACCATCTTCTGTTCAAAAATTATGAAAGTCGGAACACCAAGAGATGTGATGAAGTGATGTGATGAAGTGGCCCTATTTTTGCCTGTATCTCCAGATGAAAATTCCCGACGACGATTCATGTAGCTTGATCGCATCACAATTGTAAACTTTTGCCTCCTAGGTCCAGGAGGGTTGGCATGGGGGCTGAGACAACAAAGTTGCAGGCAAACTAACGGTGGTAAACTGCAGACAGAATTCCCGGCCATGGGGGCGGGGGGGGGGGGGGGGGGGGGGATTCAGTTGTGCTCCAAGCATATATGTCTCGGCAGTTAACAGATGGTTAGGCCAAAAAAAAAAAGTCTCCGGTTTATGGTATGGAGCTTGCCCAAAAAGTGGTGCGGCGACGCGGCTTTTTTTTTTTTTTTACCTGATTTTTTGCTTCAAATGTGTGCTGATGACTGCAAATGGTGCCCGACTAAACTTAGTGCAAATATATGGGAGTCCAGAGAGGCCACATAAAGCTTATTCTCGACCATAACCCAATCTAAAAACACGTAAAAATTGTGCAGCAACAGGATTCCAGTCAAACCAGTGAGTTTGGCGGTTTTGAGGCATCATCTTTCATTGAAAAAAAAACTTTTTCATTTTGCCGACGCGCATGGCTACGGCGACGCGCGCGCATACCAGAAACCGAAGACTTTTTTTTTTTGGCCTTAAGAAGCTCCTTCCTAATCATCCTGGTGTCTGTTGCGATGTTTTGATTTGCCACGTCTCCCGTCCTGGCCGCCCCTCTGTTTCCCGGGGGGTGGCCCTCGCCGTTTTGTCTTGCCGTCGCTTTTGTTGGACAGGAGAGGGTGGATTTCTGTAGAAAAGAAGTAGGAGAATAGCAATATACTCCACAAATACAGGCATGTCCACATAGCTGACGAAACCTGTTTCATTTCTACCATATTCACTCACGTGTTTGTAAGGTAAATCCGCCTCCTTATTTCCCTGAAGCCTATCAAGTCTACTACAGAACTGCACAGCACATCATAAAAAGAAATTTGAAAAAAAAAGTACATAGAATGTGTGCATTTCTATGAGAAGGTTTTCGGATAGCATTTGCGCACATTGGCTAACTGCGGTCTTAAATAGCTGCAGCCAGATGCTTTATACATAGGTCATGATAAATTACCCAGAATGCCATCCCCACTTCCTTGACAAGATTCTGTGAAGCTCATCAGCCCTTCCCAGTGCCCTGTTTGCAGGGTGGGGGGTACGAGCGAAGTCTGTACCGGCTTTTAAAATTAAAAAAAGGTTTGGTTTGTCTGTTTATTACTTTTACGAATCCCATACTTACCATCAGCAGCTTCGCCGTGCAGTTCAATATCTAACACTTTGACTTTCTTCTTCTTCGGTGACAGCAGGGCGGATTCCTTCGGTGCTGCTCGTTTCTGTGTCTCGGCCTGTGGTGGCTCATCCGTCTTCATACAAAGACACACAACAGAATTAAAGGAGTGAAGTTGAAGTGAATTTTTGTTAAACTTAGGCGTGTGGTAGCGTTTGTTACTTCTTTTGAATTTTCATCAATCCAATGATATATTTGGAAACATTAATAACTTTTCTTTCTTTTTGCAATGTTAGACTCCAACCACAGGTTGGCAAAGAAAGCTTTATACCTACCGTAATTTTCGGAATATAAGCCGCGCGGCGTATAAGCCGCAGCACGCAAAAATCTGCAAATTAAGATTTGAAGTCGGCGTATAAGCCGCACCGGCGTATAAGCCGCACCAACCGCAGCGGTTCAATTTTGTAAGGCCTCTAAATTCTAGTCAAAATGCTCTGAACCAGTTCCATTTACACTACGAAAGCTATAAAAGGGCCACATAAGTTATGTCAAATCATTTACAGTCGATTACTCTTACAAACAAATATGGAAATTGATGATGAGAAATAAAAAACGGGAATTGCTGCCGGCTGGCTCGTCAGTGAGCCTGTGCCGGCGACTGACAACATTTTCCCCCAGCACTTGAGAGAGTATGCAACCCACCATGTGTTGTCTGACTGGAGCGCTACAAATCCTGCTTTGTGGCAACAGATGCTGAGTTGTTTTGTCCTAAAGGATAAACAAGTCCGTTTTTACAGCAAAACTTATCAAATTGTTGTGATTACTAACGAGTAGTAACGTCAAATTCAAGTTTGGATCGTAACACGATGCTGAGATTTTTATGGACGAATCCATTAATTTCGTAAGGGGTGATTTCACCCCTGTTTTGAGTTTTACATCGTTTCTTGAATACATTTCAAGAAAAAAAATTATATTGTGACGTTGAACAACTGATTATCAAATAAAGAAATGTTTCAAACTCCATAAAAAGTATTAGTTGTCTTTTTTCTTTTTTTAAACAGGGGAAATATTGGTAATTATTGTTCCCAAGAAAGTGCACCCCTTTATTACCACAAATGGTGTGGTCCATGGGGAATCCATTCAGCATGCATGCAGCATATGCAGCATCACGTACGTACGGCCGGTTGTCGATGTCCAAGGGACAGCTTTCACTAGTCGTACTTTTTACCGCTCAGTACCTTTTTGTGGGACGTGCTTTCGGTTTGTTAATGACTTTCTTAATTGATAATTATTTCAGCAACACATCTCTTCTTGTACCAGTACATTAAATACACATGTAAATGTCATTTTTATTCTTCAAGTCTCGGCGTATAAACCGCCCTGTGTATAAGCTGCAGTAAACATTTTCATGGGCAAATTCAATGTATAAGCCGCGGCTTATATTCCGAAAATTACGGTACATGTACATAAAGTACTGAATTTTTTTTTATTTAACCATTTTGCACCAGAGGCTGTGCGTGATAACATGCACTGACTGTTTTTGTGCACAGGCACAGCTGACAGATTAAGACGTCAAGATTGCCTCCACTCGCCTCTGGGTGACATCTAAACACGCTAATCCCTTGTGCCTTTTGTACACACACACAATCCATGTAGTATGGGGAGGTGGACCGTGTGCTGACCGTTGTGTGCGCCATTGTGCGCAGCCTATTGTATAATTTACGCTCCAGTGCGCAGAGTATTGAAACATATGAGGTTTCAGCAAGAAATATCGTGCAAGAACTGTTGAAATTACTCTTGCGAATCAGTATTTGAGGTGTTTGGCTATATATCAGAAGCTGGCCGGGAAATATTGCCTTCTGAAAATTTCGAAATGTTTGGCAAGAATAAACCCGGCACGAAGTGGTTAATCGTCAAATAAATGGATTATTTATATGGGAATACATATGAATGTGCTTGGCCAGTTTTAAACGGGCCATTAGCGTCCAGGACCCTAGCCAGTGCACTGCAAGATGTGGCGCAGAATGCAGCAGTGTTTTACCATCGGTTGAAAACCACCCACATGACGAGCTCTCGACCAATAGGAATGGGTAAACTATCTCAGGTATTTATGAAGTTTTATTGAATCATTCGTAATAATTTAGCCTAATGTACATGTACACTTTGGAAGCTGCATTTATAGCAAAACCCAAGTCTGAATGGCTGAACTTACAGGGTCTATCGTGGGTGCCCAGGTGGGTTCCTCTGGTTCGTCTACTTCCGGAGAGATGGGGAGATACAGCAAGGCCCTCTCATCTTCTGCCTCCTCATCACTGGAAACAAAATCCAAAAAAACACACAGTAAGGCACAAACAAAAAATCTCCGGTTTCTGGTATGCGCGCGCGTCGCCGTAGTCATGCGCGTCGGCAAAAAGAAAAAGTTTTTTTTTCAATGAAAGATGATGTCTCAAAACCGCCAAACTCACTGGTTTGACTGGAATCCTGCTGCTGCACAATTTTAACGTGTTTTTAGATTGGGTTATGGTCGAGAATAAGCTTTTTGTGGCCTCTCTGGACTCCCGTATATTAGCACTAAGTTTAGTCGGGCACCATTTGCAGTCATCAGCCGACATTTGAAGCAAAAAAATCAGGTAAAAAAAAAAAAAAGCCACGTCGCCGCACCACTTTTTGGGCAAGCTCCATACCAGAAACCGGAGACTTTTTTTGGGGGCCTAATGCAATCATTTCACGTGGCTACAGTGGTGTGTGTGGCAATAGTGTGCAGATAGTGTTAGCAGACAGGTTCTCAACACGCCGAAGTATGGTTAAAAAGGATAGTTGAAGTGTTGGACAAGCGGTGTGATAAAGTTGTGATAGTAATGAAGACATTTACAACTAGGGTTGCAAAAGTGAGGCACATATTGAGCAACTCCATGGAATATCTCAATGCCAAATTTAACCCTAACCGCCCTGAATCCTCCAAAATCCTTTTTGCAAATTGGAGGAATTTGCAGGATTGAGGTTACATGGCAAAAGTGCGTTGCTGATTTCGGAGTATGCACTGTGTCAAGGTCTTGGGCCGGACCTTGTGTTGTTTATGCTCAGCCGTGCATAAATTTAGTCCTTGATTATACTTGACAACCTCCGTACTGCTCCAGGATGTCACTGCCTCTGCCTCAGTCTATTGACAGTCATAGCTGGAGGATTTTGCAGGATTCAGGCAGTGGTCACCCCTCCATGGACCATATTCAAGAAATAACGGAAGAATTTGCAGGATTGAGGCTATATGCTATTTTTCCATGGGGCCAATTGGAGGAATTAGCAGGATTGAGGCTACATCCTAGCAAAAAGGCCTATGGAGTTAAGGTTAAAAACGAATTCCAGATTTGTTTTATTTTATTTTATGCAAATCAGTTATCACAAGGCCACAGGCCACTCGAGGTGTGGGCTACAGAGGAAAGTGTGGAAGAACCAGCCCCTCACACTGAAACAAGACAAGACAATCTAATTTCGTCACGGTATGAATAGGGTTGGGATGGGTAAACTTGCCCACTGCAAGCGTAGAAGTGTCATAGCCCAGGCTGGGCTTGAACCCAAAACCTGCAGAATAAGCCTGTTTGGTATTTCAACTGTGCATGTGCACAATGATATGGGACACGGGTCACTCGGGATAATTGAACGTTTTGAAGGCGCATGAACGCGTGTGCACGACGCTTGCCTATAAATTACCAGCAGTAACATCGCGTAACATCACGTCAGCGAAGTTATCCCGAATGACCATTGAAATACTGAACTGGCTTTAATAGGCCAAAAGAAAAAAATAATCGGTCTCTGGTCAGACCGAAGTTCCGGAATTGATGCGGCGACGCATTTTTTTTTTTGGTGGCTTTTTTTTTTTTCCAAGCTTGAATTGTACAGACAAGGTGGGTACTATTTTGCTTTTTTGTGTCCTCATTATACATTTGTGTCCTCCATAATTTGCCTTGGTGCCCTTTATCATTTGCCTTGGTGCAATTTCCCCATTCCTTGGTACACAAATTTGAGGCGGGGCGGCAATAGTGGGGCGCTGTTGCAGCTTCCGTGTTAATTTGAAGAAAAAAAAAGGTTGACACGCATGATTAAAGTTGACGCGCGCGCTGACCAGAGACCGAGTAATTTTTTTTTTTGGCCTTACTCGCAGACCACGAATTCAATGCACCAGAGCACTAGGCCCTGGCACTCCAAATACCACAAATGAAACGTGTACATACCATTTTCTAGCTTATTTTATCAAAATGAAGTTTATTTCTAACAATGTTCAACAGTTCAGCTCGGGTAGAGTGGCAAAGGATAGCATATAGCAGTGTTGTTGACTCGAGTCGCTGACTCGGACTTGAGTCGGACTTGAGTTGGACTTGAGTCGGACTCAAGTCACTATTTTTTTTACTTGAGACTTGAATTGACTTGGGGAAAAATGACTCGAGACTTGACTTGACTTGAAAAAATATGACTTGAGACTTGACTTGACTCGAATATATTTGACTTGCTGACATTAACACGTTTCTTAAAGTTACAAAAAACACAAACCGCTGGGCGTTTGTGCGCACTAGCATAATCGGTTGAAAAGAATGCAGATATACATAGCGAATAAGCAACCAGCACGCGATAGCTGGGCATCCTGAGCCTGCCACACGTCATGTACACGACTAGCACTATGCGTACAAGTTTGTGTCGTGCGTAGTCCGAGTACCATCCGTTGTTATAGTGCGGTCATTCCATAGAGACCATAGGCTACAGGTACACATTGAGTGGTTTACCGTAAGCGTGCTCAATGCACCTAGGGTTTAAAGCTACAGTCCATCATTTGTAATTAGTGCATTTTGTTCGTTTGAAGCAACAAAAGTGTTCAAAATCTAATGAAGGATACTGAACAACTTACTTGATGAAGTTTCAGCTCAGCTTCAGCTTTATATTCCAAGAAAAACAGCATTCTAGGATCTCAATTTCAAATCAAAAGTTGCTAAATCATATTTCGAATTGTTTTGAATTGCAGCTTTACGCGATGTCGCGCACTGATCCGAGGAATTATAGCAACCGCGCGCGCGCGCCTGTGCGTCGTTCCAATGCTTGTGCGCGCTGCGCCGAATAACAAAACGAACTACTAATTTAAATTTTCCTACGGTGCTTCTTAAGACGCACCGTTGGAAATGCCTTCTTTCGTTGATTTCTTCAAAATGACAGCTTGCCAGAAAGGATAATTTCACAGGGAGTTTAGTCCCCTTACTATCTTTCAACCAAGTATGTTTTTCAACAATAATTACGCCAGTTACTTTTTTGGATAGCTGCAAATGATGGACTCATGCTTTAAACGACTGGAAAACGGCTGCTACCCCCAATCCACCATAAAAAAAAAAAAATTCACATCATGCATTAAACGAAAACGTTTGGAAGGACATTTTGTCAGACGTCCTTCAAACATTCAACATGATGGAACAAGTTTGAAAATATTATATCAAAACGCGTTTTTAGAATCTTTAGAGACAAATAAGGTGTTTGAGAAAAGATGTTTGAAAAGTATGATATTTTTTTTTTATCTCCTTACATGATGCACGCGTTGATAAACCCCATTCCCATCTCTACTCTGGCTCCGTCGTCGAACACAAAAACTGGTTCCCGTACGTAGTATGTGCATTTAATATTTAAAAAAAATGACTCGAGACTTGACTTGACTTGAACAAAATTGACTTGGGACTTGACTTGACTTGTGAACGATTGACTCGAGACTTGACTATACTGGGAAAAAAATTGACTTGAGACTTTACTTGACCTGCTAAAGTTTGACTTGGGACTTGCCTTGGAGAGAATGACTTGGTTACAACTCTGGCATATAGTGTTGATTTTCGTTGAATTTGGTGTTGAATTGTGAATTTTACCAAAAAGAACACCCACCTGCTGAGGAAAGCAGCGATTGGTTCAACAGCAAGAACGTCTACCTCTTCATCTTCCACAGCAATATCTGAAAGAAACAAGAGAAGGTGATTCAACGACAGTCATCAGTACAGCAACTAAGCGCCGTCTCATTGGACTTGTGATGGACATGTGATGGACTTGTGATGGACTTGTGATGGACTTGTGATGGACATGTGATGGACATGTGATGGACTTGTGATGGACAAGTGATGGACTTGTGATGGACTTGTAATGGACATGTGATGGACTTGTGATGGACAAGTGATGGACTTGTGATGGACTTGTGATGGACATGTGATGGACTTGTGATGGACATGTGATGGACTTGTGATGGACTTGTGATGGACTTGTGATGGACTCGTGATGGACATGTGATGGACATGTGATGGACTTGTGATGGACTTGTGATGGACATGTGATGGACTTGTGATGGACTTGTGATGGACTTTTGTCATGGACTTGTGATGGACTTGTGATGGACTTGTGACAGACTTGTGACAGACTTTTGTCATGGACTTGTGATGGACTTGTGATGGACTTGTGATGGACTTTTGTCATGGACTTGTGATGGACTTGTGATGGACTTGTGACGGACTTGTGACGGACTTTTGTCATGGACTTGTGACGGACTTGTGATGGACTTGTGATGGACTTGTGAGGACTGTGACGGACTTTTGTCATGGACTTGCGATGGACTTGTGATGGACTTGTGATGGACTTTTGTCATGGACTTGCGATGGACTTGTGATGGACTTGTGACAGACTTGTGACAGACTTTTGTCATGGACTTGTGATGGACTTGTGATGGACTTGTGATGGACTTTTGTCATGGACTTGTGATGGACTTGTGATGGACTTGTGACGGACTTGTGACAGACTTTTGTCATGGACTTGTGATGGACTTGTGATGGACTTTTGTCATGGACTTGTGATGGACTTGTGATGGACTTGTGACGGACTTGTGACAGACTTTTGTCATGGACTTGTGATGGACTTGTGATGGACTTGTGAGGACTGTGACGGACTTGTGACGGACTTTTGTCATGGACTTGCGATGGACTTGTGATGGACTTGTGATGGACTTTTGTCATGGACTTGCGATGGACTTGTGATGGACTTGTGACAGACTTGTGACAGACTTTTGTCATGGACTTGTGATGGACTTGTGATGGACTTGTGATGGACTTTTGTCATGGACTTGTGATGGACTTGTGATGGACTTGTGACGGACTTGTGACAGACTTTTGTCATGGACTTGTGATGGACTTGTGATGGACTTGTGAGGACTGTGACGGACTTGTGACGGACTTTTGTCATGGACTTGTGATGGACATGTGATGGACTTGTGATGGACTTGTGATGGACTTGTGATGGACATGTGATGGACTTGTGATGGACTTGTGATGGACTTGTGATGGACATGTGACGGACTTTTGTCATGGACTTGTGACGGACTTGTGATGGACTTTTGTCATGGACTTGTGACGGACTTGTGATGGACTTGTGATGGACTTGTGATGGACTTGTGACGGACTTGTGACGGACTTGTGACGGACTTTTGTCATGGACTTGTGACGGACTTGTGATGGACTTGTGATGGACTTGTGATGGACTTGTGATGGACTTGTGACAGACTTGTGATGGACTTGTGATGGACTTGTGACAGACTTTTGTCATGGACTTGTGACGGACTTGTGATGGACTTGTGATGGACTTGTGATGGACTTTTGTCATGGACTTGTGATGGACTTGTGATGGACTTGTGATGGACTTGTGATGGACTTGTGATGGACTTGTGACGGACTTGTGATGGACTTGTGATGGACTTGTGATGGACTTGTGACAGACTTTTGTCATGGACTTGTGACGGACTTGTGATGGACTTGTGATGGACTTGTGATGGACTTTTGTCATGGACTTGTGATGGACTTGTGATGGACTTGTGATGGACTTGTGACGGACTTGTGACAGACTTTTGTCATGGACTTGTGATGGACTTGTGATGGACTTGTGATGGACTTGTGACGGACTTGTGACAGACTTTTGTCATGGACTTGTGATGGACTTGTGATGGACTTGTGATGGAGTTGTGATGGACCTATGATGAACTTGTGAGGACTTAAGCCCGGTTCATTCTCCACGCGAATGCGAATGCGAAGCGAATTTGATTTCATGACACGTTCGCTGCGAAATTAGCCCGAGTTGAAATGTGCTCAACTTTTACAAATTCGCAGCGCAAATACTTGACACGACGTCACAAATTCGCGTTCGCTTTCGCTTTCACGCCGAGTATGAACCGGGCTTCAGGATGGACATTTGATGGACTTGTGATGGACTTGTGTGACTTGTGATGGACTTCACTACAACACTATTCTATATTAGCGCCTTACCCACAGGATCCTCCACCGACTTGTCCTCATCTTCGATGTCAAATTCACTCTCTCGTTCATCGTATTCCACATTCTCGTCTAACTCCTTAAAGTCTGGGGCATAAGCACTCCAGTTTTCCTGCACAACACAGTCCAACAGTAATAACTTAATTTCTGATTTCAAAAGATATTGCTTGCTTTTCACATTTTTACCCATGTGATAATATTCAGACCAAAATATAACATGTTGTCAAGAATGAAGACTATTTCTCCAATCAAAACAGCCCTTAATTACTCACCACTTGGTTCTGGGCCCAGACGGAGACAACACCGCTTGAGACGGACGCTATGATTGGCCGGACTGGATGCCAGACCACATCCAATAGCAGCTCTCCCCTGGTGCCGTGCAGGATTTTCACCAGGTTGCCGTATTTCTTCTCCCAGATGTAGAGGGCGTGCTGCCTGGCTGACCCTGGAAAGAGAGAATAGCCGCGTTTGATTGACTTGACTATGGCTGGCAGTAACACACGGGTCTGTGGTTCTGTGCTTAACATTAACCCTCCTACTGTTTAACCCTAAAGGGGCCGGGGGGGGGCGGAATCCGCCCCCCCCCTCAACATTTTCCGCGATAGCTTCTAAAAAAATTTTTTTCGCGACCCGAGCTGTTATGACTTTTTAGCCTCGAGCTTTGCGCATCTTTTGATACCAAAAACATAAAAATCGGACCACGGGTTGGCCCGTAGCGAAAAATTTTCCGGCGCTACGCGCCGTGAAAACTGAATTTTCGCATATACGTCGTGTACACCGAGCAGAATTTCCATTCATACATATGAATAATTAATAAGCCATAATTCCGAAACCCTTTGACCTATAGTCATGAAATTTCTTGGGCATGTTAAGGAAGAGTTGCTCTATGCATGTGCTGAGTTTCAAAAATGTTCGTCACTCGATGGCCGAGATCTTAGGGGGGGGCGGAATCCCCCCCCCCCCCCCCCCCGGCTGAGAGATGGTCAAAATAACCCGGCCCCTTTAGGGTTAAACAGTCACAGACAGTCAAAAATTCCATCCACTTCCATGCCTTTTACATAGACTAGTCACAAACAGTAGGATCATATTTCAAGCAAACACTCTGACTAGTCAAATTCTATCAACAGACATGACAGACAAAAGCAGACAAAAAGACCCAGACAGCTTAACCGCTTCACTGCGCGCGGCAGCTTTCAAATTTGCAGGGCTCTGCGCTTGATCTGGTGTCGAATTCTGTCAAGCCAGCTAAGTATATTTTTGAATATTCATGATCCTACGTTTTCAGCTTTTACTATTACATTCTGATAAGTTGTCTCTACATAACCATATTAACACAGAGCACAATATCTTTAGCTTTAAAATGAACAATGAAATGTCGCATTTGTTTTATCAATTCTGGACCACATCTCTCAGAAACTTTTTGATGAAAGCCTAATTAAAAACCGAGATTTTGGTAAACGGCGTTCTCTTCGAAAAAGGTGTCACATTTGACGTTTATTTCCCGGGTAAATACTTCATCCATGACGACAAAAACTGCACAATACCATCTGTTATATCTTGAAGTATGTATTTTTTTAAACAATTTTGGTACAACTTTATCTTACATAAGGAGTGGTTTTGCTGAAAGTTTTATGAATATTTCCATTTTAGATGTCATGCACAAAAAACGACAAATGGCACACCTGGAACATTTGCGCTAAACATGCCAACGGGTATTAAGGCCCGTTATCACGCGGCCAACCAAATAAGGTAAGTCCGCTCAGGGCATTTTGTACTAGAGCTCAGTACAGGTGTTCATCCTTGTGTATAGGACAAGTGGTTACAGGCTGGCCCTATAGTCCAGCAACAAAAACACCACATTTACCAGCAACGATGTATTCTCCATCCCCCGAGAAGCAGCATTTCTTCCAGGGTGTTCTGTTGACCAGATCTTGCAGCTTCTGTATGGGTTCCGGCTCCCCGTCTTTACCACAGGCCAGTACCTCCCCACTCTCATAGACACGGATGATGCGGTCGGCTGTGTTGACTAGGAAACAGCTGTGCAAAAGAACATGTGACATACATGCGATCATCGTGGTAATCGTGTGATAAACAAGGGGGTCAACTTGTGCTACCATATGGCAATCAAGTGAAAAGCATGTGACATATGATCAGTATGTGATAAAATTCACCTAGAAGGAGCATGTGATAAGCATGTGACAGACAGGTAGTCAACATGTGCTCACCATATGGCAATCAAGGGAAAAGATTGTGACATATGATCAGTGTGTGTGAAGACCTCACCTAGAAGGAGTGTGACAAGACCTCACATAAAAGGAGCATGTGATAAGCATGTGACAGACATGTAGTCAACATGTGCTCATCATGTGGCAATCAGGAAAAAGCATGTGACATATGCTCAGTATATGATAAGATCTCACCTAGAAGGAACATGTGATAAGCATGTGACAGACATGTAGTCAACACGTGCTCACCATATGGCAATCAAGGGAAAAGCATGTGACATGTGATCAGTATATGATAAGACCTCACCTAGAAGGAGCATGTGATAAGCATGTGACAGACATGTAGTCAACATGTGCTCACCATATGGCACTCAAGGGAAAAGCAAGTGACATATGATCAGTGTGTGTCGAGACCTCACCTAGAAGGAGTGTGACAAGACCTCACATAAAAGGAGCATGTGATAAGCATGTGACAGACATGTAGTCATGTGCTCATCATATGCCAATCAGGAAAAAGCATGTGACATATGATCAGTATATGATAAGACCTCACCTACAAGGAGCATGTGATAAGCATGTGACAGACATGTTGTCAACATGTGCTCATCATGTGGCAATCAAGGGAAAAGCATGTGACATTTGATCAATAACTACCAAGAATCCTTGCACCTCAGATGTCCATGAATATCCATTTCGTACAAATGTGACCCAGACTTGGACTCGGACTTGATTAGAATGACTCATAACTCGGACGTGGACTTAAACCAAGTGACTCAAGACTCGGACTCAACCCAAGCAACTCGAGACTTGGACTCCGACTCGACTCAAGTGACTAAACTACAACACTGGTGTGCACTAGGCAAGAGTCTGCATATAGTCCCTACGACCCTGCGATATGTTTAACCCTTGGTTCAGACAGGCGTGCTAGAGTCGCGCCGATCCAAATTAAAGGCAAGATTTAAATTAAGTACATGAAAGGTTCGACGTCTGAAACAAATAGGAGCGACTAGACGCGCCAGATGGCGAAAGATCAACGGTCGGAGTCATTCAGAACAACTCAGGAGTGACTTGGTTTCAGACGTCGCTCTAGTCATGAGCTGAACTCAATGCAAATGTATTTAAATGTATGTAAATAAGTAGTGACCTTCAAAAATAAGGTTTTCTTTTTTGCAGATTTAATCCTTTCAAACACGAGATTTCTATGTCGTGTTACAGAGCAAAAAGTTACAATAAATGTACGTCCCACTGTCGCCCAATACAACACAAGATCCATTTTTTTAAAGTGGAAAACCGAGACTTCCAGTATCCATGTTGTACAGGCACGGTGCAGTCTTGAAATGCAAATTGTTCATGCGTGGCGCGGCGTGACGTGCAAGAGATAACGTGAGCGCACATGGCGTACGTGCTAGCTGTCTTCTTCGATACCTGTGCACTTCGCGCAGTACGCTCTCAATCAGCGTCGATTACGTATTCTACACTGCCAGGCGTTAGCGTAGTGAAGGAACACGCACACAGACCATACATCGACGCTGCACAATGCCGGCTTGTTGCTAAGATCCCGTGTTTGTTGGTTTGTACACAATACTCCAATGTATTAAGTTCGCCTGTCTGAAACCAAAATTCTAATACGGTCGAGCTGGAGTCGCTCCTAATCTATTTGGTTCGGCGCGACTCTGGAACGCCTGTCTGAACCAGGGGTTACTCATTTTTTTTTTGCAGAACAGCATACAGTCATCCACAAACTGACTTACTTGCCACGTCTAGCAAACTCTATGGATTTGATGGCCGTGGTATTGCTAGTGCCGGTCGTTACTTTGAAGGACGCGGCTAATTTCAGATTTTCAGTGGACACGACGAGAACCTGTGCATCATGAAGGAAAAAAAAACGATATGGCTTTAATCCTGAAATAAGATATGAGGGTTGTTTCACTAAGAATGCATGTATATTAGCTCATACTCTAGCACACCGTTATAGAGCGTGTGGTCCAATGGTTACGGTGTGTGACTCATGTGCGATGGTATGTGGGTTCAACCTCTGATCTCTATATGAAGACTGAATAGTGTACAGAGAAGTGTAAAGAAATCCTTTTAGGCCATACTGGGGAGACCGGTTGGTGTTTTAAATAAGGGACAAGTTGCCATCTCAGGCAGTTGTGATTCATCGTGGTCCACCTGTTTTACCTTTTGTCCACCGTCACCACTGGCCACGGGTCACAGTTTTTCAAACGTCGCGGTTCACTTTTTGAATACCGCAGTTCACTTTTTGTGACGTTTGGAAATATAATCATGACGGACACTTGTCCTTTCGAACATCATAATACATGTTTATGTGATCAAAATGCAAGTCAAATCTTGATACAGCGCACGCTGTATGTGCGCAGAACGTTCAGAACGTTAACTGGCGGCCATTTTTGGAAGATCGGGGGCGAACTGGTCAAAATGCAAGTTCAACTATGTGACTGGTGTATGGGAATCGACTATCTAGTCATAGAGATCAGTGGTTCAAACCCTGACAGGGGAACATGGTGCTAGTGTTCTTGGGCAAGACACTTTACAGCAATTGCCTCTCTCTGTAAACTTTTTAGTCAATCAATTATCATCAAGCATCAAGTGTGACTGCTATACCTTCCTAGGAAGTAAAGTCATAGAAAATCCTGAATTCAGTTGCTAAAAAACACTTACCTTCCCTTTAGCATTGCCCGTGTAGATGTATTGCCCTCTTCTGTCGAATGATGCCACAATATTAAGATCAAACTGGAAAAGGAAAACCAAAAAAGATCAACTTGCTGTGATGTCTAAAACAATTCACTCATTTAGGTTAACCCAACCCCTACAGTGACTTACTAGGAGCCTTCCTTACTCTTGACAATTCCAACACCATATGGTAAACTCTACACCCAAACTGTTAGACTCTGATTATGGTGATACATGTATGCCTGACCCCACGTATTTAAGGCGTAACCCGTTTAGTAGTGCACTACTCACTCCAACAGATTCCTACAAAACATACGGTTGGATTTTGATGGGTTGCGGATGGTTAGGGTTAATGTTTGTTTGGAAAAGTGTACATTTTTGTTTCAAAATAACACCAAAATACAGTGAAATCTCAACAAGTCAAACTCTGATAACTCAAGACAACTGTTAAGTCAAATAAAGAACCCATTGCCTTCAGTAGTATAACAATGATATACAACCCTGCTCAACTCAAAACTCTGCTTAAGTCAAATTTTGAACCTGTTCCATTGAGGTTTGACTTATCGAGATTTCACTGTATTAACTCTTTCAGCGCCAAAGTCGTACATGCACAAGGTATATTTGTTAATTTGAAATTGCCAACCTCGTACATGTACGAAATAATGTTCGTACTTATAATTGCCAAACCTCGTACGTGTACGAGGTAGAGTAAGCATGCTATCACAAGGGGGCCCTCTCGCTCTTTCTAATAGTATCATTTTCATTCAGGTACGACCTGTATTTATTTGTTTCATTCGAGTTCTTGCAAGAGGGCGCAGCACTGACACTGGTATTTTCTGCAAAAAGTGCGGAATTCCCCTGTGTGCAGGGCAGTGTTTCAGGGTGTATCACTATGAACGTGACTACTATTGACTTTCCAATGTACCAAGGATATACCAGAGAGCAACAACAACAAATTTAGTGAGTAAAACTTATTTACTTTTTAAAGTAGGATGTATTACGTTTAGAGTAATGGAATCATCAACAAAGAAGTTCACTTCTTACTTGAGAAAGTCGAGGAAAAAGTCCGAAAGACAAGGGCACCGTTCATGGTGCTTCAATCATGTCCATGATTCAACCACACAACTCCACTACTCCACTTGCATTCGTACGTGGGGAAAAATCAGGCATTGTCGTCTTTCTCTTTCAACAAATGCCAGTGAAATGTTTCGCTAATGCTCTCTGCGCTATCCTCGAGATAATCATCATGATTTTTAAAGCATTGCATTTTGTACAACTAAATCAGAAACCTCCGAAAATCGCACAACATAATGATTTTATCCACTGGATCGTTCACAAGGCTACCCGTTCCCGAACGGCCATGTGCTATAGCGGACGGTACGGTGAGGTACGTGCGTTGGCACCATTGCGTACAATACATATGCACGCACGTGCGACACAGTGATTTTTCCATGTCACCTGTCAATGTTAAACCTTTTGTCCAGCCGGAAAAGGCTCCGATCAGTGTTATGGCCTGTGTTTCTACCGTTGAAACACTCCAATAACGACTGGTGAAAGAGATTAAAACTACATTCGCGATGATTTTAACGTGCCATTTCCATCGACTTTTCATCGACATTTCTTCGAAATTATGATTGAAATAAAATAACATTTTGTGAAAAAATCGTTACAAAATCAAATTTTCTGGGACACATTGTAAGAAAATTGAAAATTTCGTTGGAAAATTCAAAAAGTCGGATTTCCGATTAAAATCGGAAACGTTTCATCTCTGCTGGGGAGGTGACATCACACTTTGGTGAGTACATTGTACTGCTCTCAAACGTAACCAAACAACTTACATCATCATCTGTCGGTACGACTGAGTAACTGCCGTCGATGTTGAGGATGATCGGTGCGTGCTTCATGGGACACACCAGGATCTTTGCTCTACAAAGCAACAGAATATAATTGTTGCTATTACAAGATGAAATTTTGCGTCGGGGTGATATAAATCAAATTAGGTTTTGCCCTTCACCGACGTTTAAACACTGTATACTCAGTGTGTTACCTCCCGAGTGAAAGTTGGAAAAAATCACTCGGGTGGGACTGGAACCCACGACCTCCTGCTTTCTAGTGCAGATGTCTTACCACACGACCACCGGGCTAACGGGATCGGTGGGCTGGTTCGAATCTGATGTACATAGAAGCGGGTACCGCATAAACTATTATAAGATGGAATTTTGCGTCGGGGTGATATAAATCAAATTAGGTTTTGCCCTTCACCGACGTTTAAACGCTGTATACTCGTGTGTTAATTGATGCTATTAGAGTACGCGAGTCAAGCTAAAATACGCAAGTCGAGTGGAAATTGCTGCGTGACAATGTGACATTGCCCGAAACGAACAGCAGGAAATATCGATCACACAGTGCTTGCATGCATGGGAGCATGTGAAATTGAATGCGCTGCGCTCTGTATGGGCACTGTGCAGTCCATAGGGACCAAGGAATTACTTTTCAAACTGCATCCTTTTTCATAAACTGTTGTCAATCTTGGACTATTTGCAGTCTTTGGTAGCAAACGGGGTATCAAAATGTTAGTGACAAAATTCCCCATATGTGATGCAATCAAGCTAAATGAGTCATTTGTCTGGACGTTTTATTTGGAGATACAGGCCAAAATAGGGCCACTTCATCACATCACTTCATCACATCTCTTGGTGTTCCAACTTCCATAATTTTTGAACTAAAGATGGTATCAGCATGTGGTTTTCACAGCAGTAATGCTGAAATTGTGCTCTTTTTAAAATCTGTAATAAAACAAAACTTGACCAGGGTCTACAAACGACTCATGTAGCTCAGTGTTTCCCCTGCCCATTCAAACGTGAGGCGGCCCACCTCGCTACTTTCAGTGACCACCTTGCTCAATTTCTGCCAATATCACCACCTCGCTGTGAAGATGTGCAATAATCAAAGGAATACTAATCGACAGATGTTCAGTTTGTGCACTTTATGAGCATTTTTCTTGATATCAAGAACTCACAATTTCAATGTGTACATGTAGATGGAATCATCGCACATTTTCGTGAGACTACGTTCTTGTCAGGTTGCCCGACTGCGTAAATTTAGTTTCAATCATCATTTTGAATTTTTACCACCTCCCTCAGTTCATTAGCCAGGGGAAACACTGATGTAGCTTGATCGCATCACATATGGGTTTATATAAATGACGTCACTGTAAGACGATCAGATTCAAAATTATGACCCTTCCAGTGAGTGTGGCCTTTTTTATTTTGCGATGTTTATTTCCTCAATGGACAGTAGATTGGATTTGCTACTCACTCGTTCCGTGGATGAAACTGAACTTTGAGCACCGGCGACGGGAACCGGTACCGCTGGTCACAATCGCTGCTCATCACGTCCCAGATAGAGATCATGTTGTCTGTGGAAGCACTCAGCAGCTTGTGGCCATTCCGACTCCAGCTAAAACAGATGTACAACATTACTAAATCACTTATTCATACTGATTAAAATTATCGACCAAAGAACCTCAACCTTCCTCAATCCTCTAAAATCATCCAGGCGGTTTTGGAGGATTTTGGAGGATTGAGGCTGAATGCAACAGTCAATTTTGGAGGATTGTGGAGGATTATGAGGGTACATGGACATTCAGTAATCGGTTGATTTTGGAGGATTGAGGCTGAATGCTGTTTGAAAAAGATGAGGCAGTGTGTATCCTTCATTTGAACATAAGTGCCAAATCTTAGAGTTTAGGTACTTTCCTGGAGATGGTCAGAGCATACATGTACTGACCAGAACGTGAAGTTTATACCTCTGGTTCTTTTCAGAACCATTATCTTAATTGAGAAATTATTCGCGCATGTTGTTTCTGCAAACCTTTCATTATTTAGTATCTCCACCATGCAAAGCCTCAAATCTTAACTTAAAAAGAGGATGATTTTCGAGGATTGAAATGAATGGATTTTGAGAGGCAGGGCGGTTGGAGGATTTTCAAGAATTGAGGCAGTGTGTATCCTTCATTTGAACATAAGTGCCAAATTGTGGAGGAAAGACCTTCGCTCTGTCCCAGTCTTTGGAGTGATCCACTAAACTGACCTCACTGAGCAGACCGGGTGGACGTGTGCGCTGATGATCTTAGCAATGCCCCGGGTCAGGAAGTCCCAGATGACCACCCGACCGTCGTTGCAGCCCACAGCCAGTAGGGTGCCTCGTTTGTTGAAGGCGCAGGTCAGCGCCATGCTAATGCAATCCAAGGTGCCATCACTTTCCTGAAGATTTGGAGAAATCAACAGTAGCAGACTTGGTCATCGTGTCATTTAGGCCACCTCTTATGTTTTACAAGTTCCGTTCATAAATAAAAAACTGACATTCTAGTCTTTGCCTCATCAAACTTTAGAGAGTTCTGTGAGCCAAAGACTGAGTAAACTTGGCTTGAATTAGTTCTGCATGTTTTTTGTGGGGTGCTGTGGTCCAACGGTTACAGTGTTTGACTCGTGTGCCGTGGTACATGGGTTCGAATCCTGACCTTGAGAACATGGTGCTTGTGCTCATGAGCAAGGCACTTTACCATCATTGCTTCGTCCTTCGGATGGGACGTAAAGCCGCAGGTCTGGTGTGTAGGTAATGCACGTTAAAGAACCCAGTAGCACTTATCGCTAAGAGAAGGGGTTTGCCCTGGTGTTTCTGGCAGTGGCTGCAATATGCGCCGTAGCACCTTGTCAACCCTTATAAGGTGCTACATAATGGGTCTCATATTTCTCATAAACTTCATTTACCTGTCTTTAATAATAGACATAATTACCAGTGCCTTGAATACCTAATTGTTGGTAGATACGCATGCTATATAGGACTCCGAAATTATTATTATTATTATTACACTCAAGGTCCCAGTCTGGGGTTTCCCAAGCTACAAGAATTACACAGTTATAAACAGTTACATTCCATTGCAATCACTAACAGTTACTCACCTCTGGAAAGTTCTGTCCAAACGTCTCTGAAAAATTAGAAAAGTAAACACAAAGGCATTAGGCCTAAAGCAAAACTTAACTGCGTTCAGTGATGTGGTACATAATCAGTTTTTCGTCCCTTTCTGACTTTGCTTCAAAACTATATGGGGAGTTGTGAAAAAATCTCGGTAGGCATTTTAGTTTCTATTTAGCCTTTTCGCAAATCCAATGCCTGTGTGCACATCCTGATTTGCGATTTCGGGAGACAAACATTTTGAGAGACAAACAGTTTGTTACAATTGTGCAAAATCATCACTGGGTTCCAACGAAATCAAGTCAAGTTCTTGTTTTGAAGTAAATGCAAACTTTTGAATTTTTTTTACGACCCCATCATGATCATGTTTTGGATGCTCCAACTTTTGTGCGAGCAGCTGTGCAATAAACTTACGATCGATTTCACGCAACTTGGCATAGTTGTGCAACGTTTTAAATAATTTAAGGCAGTGTATATTTTGCCGGAGACGGCAAACCTTTAGTAAACGTTAGTTTGCCGGATATGCACTGAACATGCGCAGTTACTGTTTTTTTGTACTTAAACATTTTCCGGTGACAAGTTTTAGTCTGGTTCCATGCCAAAATTATCGTTGTTACCTCGTATTCACAAGATGGGATTCAGACCATTTTATAATTTCGGACTTTATTTCCCTTTTAAAAAAAATCCTCCAGAGCCACAAATCTGAAAAAGAAAATGTAATACTCTGCAAAAAATGTTTGAGACATGTTAAAATAATAAAAGAAGAATATTCTTATTTATTTGGGGATGAAAAAAAAAACTTGAAAATGTGGTGCGGTCGGAATCGAACGCGAGTCATCCCGCTTACTAGAGCCTTTGCTTAACCATTACACCAAACGTGCTACACAACTTTTGATGGGAATTTAATACATCTTATAATTCAGCCCTATTTTAAAGAGTACAGCGCCCTCTGTTGATATGGATTGCCGCCGGCAAACCTTTAGTAATCGTTAGTTTGCCGTCATTACCTCCGGCAAAATATCCACTATCATAATTTAAACATCTTGGATGAGGATAAAAACAGCATTTACAACGGCTGTTTGTGTGTGAATTTGTTCTTTCGCGAAACAGTCGTTGGATCACCTCAGCCCGCCATTTTGAAAATGATTTTGTCCCACTTTCTTTGGAATCGTTTGGCAACTCTAAAAATTATGTTACGAAAAATACGAGTAAAATAGAAATTCATTGTCTTCAAACATAAAGTTGTGAGTGTCTTGTATCAAGCTTTTTAAGTTGTGCAATAACGGGCTCTACGACGGTCCAGATTTGCTGGTAAAATATGTCATTTTCAGTCGCTACGCCACAACTTACGCCACATAAAATGATTGCGCAAGTTACCCCATAATCTACTGCGCAAGTCGTGAACTTACACACTATCATAAGTGAAATGTTGCGCAGCCTGAAATGTTGCGCAACTTACGCAAATGTGGCCCAAGCAGAGTTGTGCCATTGCATAAGGTTGCGTGAAATCGGCTGCTGGGCCAGCCGGGCATTATGTGCATGTAATAGGGGCGAGTTGCTTATTGTGTTAACGTTAATACGTCTTCTTAACCAACTCGCCCCACTATCACACACTGTGCTAAATAGTGGGGCGAGTTGGCTCAAGAAAGATAAACGTTGCGTTGGTAAGAAAAATGATGCGCGTTCAACACTAAGAAGAGAAAAGAACTTACCTAATAGCCCTAAATTCATTTTCAAAATGGGAGCAACTATAGAATGCAGGGCCACGCCGAAGCAAGGTTTTTTATTTTGCCTGGAGGCGTGGATGGAATAGGAGTAATAGATATGCAAACCTGCAAAAAAGTGCTAAGTACAGCGAAGGAATGCACTGCACTTGTCTTCAAAGCTTCTCATGAAGGATCGGAAGGGAGGGCGTGCTTGTAAATGTGTTGGGGGCACTGTCTGGAGCGGCGGAGGCGCGGAGTCTTGGAGTCGCAGAATCGCAGAGACGCGGGGCACTGGAGTGGCGGAGGCGCGGAGTCGCGGAGTCGCAGAGACGCGTACCGATAGAGGGCGCAATTCTCGGCGGAATCTTTTTGAGAACGAAGCATCCATATCCAATTTAAATGGGCGGGCCAATTAGGAAGGGGGGGAGGGCGACAGGGCACTGTCTGGAGTCGCGGAGGCGCGGAGTCGGGGAGTCGCAGAGTCACTTTAAATGGGCGGGCCAATTAGGAAGGGGGGGGAGGGCGACGGGGCACTGTCTGGAGTCGCGGAGGCGCGGAGTCGGGGAGTCGCAGAGTCACTTTAATTGGGCGGGCCAATTAGGAAGGGGGGGGAGGGCGACGGGGCACTGTCTGGAGTCGCGGAGGCGCGGAGTCGGGGAGTCGCAGAGTCACTTTAAATGGGCGGGCCAATTAGGAAGGGGGGGGAGGGCGACGGGGCACTGTCTGGAGTCGCGGAGGCGCGGGGTCGGGGAGTCGCAGAGTCACTTTAATTGGGCGGGCCAATTAGGAAGGGGGGGGGGAGGGCGACGGGGCACTGTCTGGAGTCGCGGAGGCGCGGAGTCGGGGAGTCGCAGAGTCACTTTAATTGGGCGGGCCAATTAGGAAGGGGGGGGAGGGCGACGGGGCACTGTCTCTCAGTGGTGGAGGCGCGGAGTCGCGGAGTCGCAGAGACGCGCACCGATAGAGGGCGCAATTTTCTGCGGCTCCACGACTCCACGATCGATTTTCAGAGGTAGGTCGACTGCGGTTCCACGCCTCCACGCAGCCGTACGGAGGCGCGGATGTAGAGTAAAGTGGCCCTGCATTCTATAGTTGTACCTCAAAATGGAATGCAAACGGTCATGTAATTCTACAAAGTTTTATACTCGTTCTTTTTGCAAAAATAAATAAAAGTCTTGCCGTCTCAATTTTTTTTTTGTCTGCACAGTCAAAGATGGCGGCATTTGAGGCCTTAACATCATTATAAACAAATTATTATCTTGTTCTTTTTCAAAACACCTTTGCTGTTTAAAAAAAATCCCAAAAATATTGTTTTAATTTAATATAAATTTTATCTTTTCTTACCGCTTAATTTAAAAAATATTACATTAACATTTAGGAGAATAAAATTATAGATATCAGCACATCCGGTAAAAAATTGCCCGGACTTGTTTTTCTTCCGTTTGTCAATCGTGAGACTCGCGTGAATTGATGCAGAGTTCACCCCAGGTTTTTGCTCTTCCTGTGACGAAATCCCTTCAAAAGCAACAGGAACGAGTGATCGAGGTGACCAAGAATATACTTAGCCTATTAGCATGTTTTCAGATATATTTCACACTCTGAAAGACAGTAATTCATTCATCATTGACATTGTTCATTCGCCATTGTAGGCCTATAAGGCCTACATGTTGATTCGGCATGGGAGTTTTGGTTTGCATTGTTTGTTGTCGTTTTCGGTGAATTCATTACTAATGAATTCGACATTAGGGAAATAATTCCATATATGGCCATCACTCATTTGGAAAAACTGTTGGACCTGACGCCACTTCCGCGATTGTGTACAAAGTCTCTGGACAGTGTAAATTTTTTTTTACTTAGGGCCTATTTCCTAACAAAATTGGAAATGCTTCTCACTTCTCAGTCCCAATGAATGACCTTCATTGAGATGATATATGAAGAAAAAAGTGGCGTCAGGTTGCACCATTTTTTCCAAATAAGTATTTTTCCGAGTAATTCCCAATGACCTCAAAATGATCTCGGAAGCTAAGCTTAATTTAGCTAAGCTAAACTTAATTTAGGGAAGAATGTTGCAACCTGACGCCACTTAACTGAAGTGGGTTGTGTACTATTATTCTATGGAGAGTTAAGACAATTTTCTAAGTATTTCCTAACGAAATTGCAAATGTTGTCCCTGCGCTGATCTTCGCGTGACCTCAGCGGGTCAACTCTACATGTGGCTCGACCATTTGGGATGGAGGGGCTTTGAAATCGCATCGCACAACAGTACATAATAGTAATACGTCATTTTGGTGCACTGAAATGAATACGCTGAGCTGAATCGTTACGACTTTTGGTGGACTGTTGACATGCTGAGGTCTCGCGAAGATCAGTGCACGCGCAACATACGTAAACACCATGAACATGACCCATGTATTTGTTGGATCGGAAATGCGAGGCTGGTGAGTAAAAACTCAGATTTATTTTCCACTCAAAAAATTGTCCCATGATCCAAATGTCAATGGTTCTAAAACATTTCAGAGTTATGGATCAACCATGGCAATGTTTTGGTGGATTTGTGTTTCAGAAATTGGAATTCCAGACAAAGAAATTTCGTCTATCAAAGTGCATTTCCAAAAGCCATAGCGTACTGAGCCCCAAAAATTCACCATGCTAGTAGAAGGCTAACGGAGCCTTCTACTTCTAGAAGTAATAAAGTTCCATCGCCAAATTTTCATTCTCAGCCCCTACTCAAATTTGGCAGCCCTGCAATTAGAAAAAAAATTCTGACCCCCCCCCCCCAAAAATAAAAACATTAAAACAAGGTCTTCCAAACTTATCCTCTCATTTTTACCAATTGGGCGCTCTTTCATTTTTGTTTTACAGGAAAAAAACGATGGATCATAAGAGTAAAAAGAGAAAGACATCACAAGATTCTCCACCATCACAAGTTGTTTTTCCTGGGTAAGACAGTTGCTATAAAAAGGCCAAGTAAAAGAAAAAGAAAGGGAGTTTCTCGTCTGGATTTATTTCTAAAAAAGGAAGGAATTGTCTTCTTCCCATTGTGTCTATTCGGAATGGTGGATTTTCCAAGATGACAGATGGATTATTTCATTTTTTGAGCAACTCCTTTTGCTGATGCTTTTGGAGCCGTCACCCTTTCTATCAGATTTTGAAACTACATGTAGGTTGCATCAAAAAACAGAAAAGGTGACGAGCCTGTGTTTATAACAGGAACGGAGTGCCCATCTCTGCCCATCTCTCACAGTGGGAGATATGTTGTGAAACAAATATCGAATGCTTTAGCTCGTGGTGCAGTAAAACTAGCCTCCCGAGGTGATCCATGGATCACCTCGGGAGGCTACTTTTACTACACCACTCGAAGCATTCAACATTTGTATAATATGCCTGGTAAGCAATAACAAAGTTTTTGTTGGATATAAGGCCAAAAAAAATATTCGGTCTCTGGTCAGACCAAAGTTCCGGGATGCGGCTTTTTTGTTTTTGTTTTGCTTTTTTTTCTTTTCTTCAAGCTTGGATTGTACAGACAAGGTGGGGTACTAGTTTGCTTTTTTGGTGTCCTCATGTACATTGGTGTCCTCCATAATTTGCCTTGGTGCTCTCGATCATTTGCCTTGGTGCAATTTCCCATTCCTTGGTGCTCTTTGGTAAAAAAATAATTGAGGAGGTGCAGCAATAGAGGGCGCTGTTGGAGCTACCGGGGAACATTTTGGAGAAAAAAAAAGATTGACGCGCATGACCAGAGACCGACTTATTTTTTTTTTTGGCCTAACATGAAAAGAAAAAATAAGAAAAAAAAATAGTTGGAACAACCAATTTTTGTCTTGCTTTATTTTTGACCCACTACATGTACATGTATGTACTGCCCCAAAGCGCTCTGCCTGTTACTCCTTATACCGCCCCAAACCGCCCCAAAAGCACTCTATGGTTTTATGCATTGTTTTTTCAAGGAGTAAATTCAGTAGGCCTATAGTACAATGTTATACAAGCAGTGTTCGACCATAAACTTTTTTTTTTACTAGCCAGCTGGGCTACTGAAACAGACTCTTAAAGGGAATATACAACATTTGCAAACATCGAAAAACAAAACTACATTTTTTTTTACAAAATACGTTACTAGGATGTTGGTAAATGCCAGTCTAAAGCATCCTGTAAAATTATGGCACCTGGTGTGAAGTCATTTTCAAAAAAAAATGACATTTTGTATAAATTTCCAACTGTGGTCGGCCGACCACCGTTGGAAAAACCTAACTATTTTTTTAACTACTACTCCAAATTTACCATTTTTTCAGTCAAATTTTGTTTGCTATTGGTTACATGTTCATGAACGGGTGCAGGCCAGCTAGACTGGTTCTATTACCTTACAAAGTTCCGGCATCTATAAATTGATCCATTTCATCTTTAGTGGAGACGGGGAACCAGACTACTTGAATATTTTCGTTTTTCTTGGTTTTTCCAGCATTTTCGATCACAAAACTTCAAACATGTCAGTGGAACAATATTTGATCTATTATACTAACCCCTCAAATAGTTCATTTCTGAAAATTACAGCAAAAGCCAATGATGTACATTCCCTTTAACTACATTGTAGCCTGCAGGCATTTTCACTAGCCTGCTTGTTTTCCTTATATAGAGTGTCTCATCAACAACAATGTGCATACATCTAAAACCTGTATCCTGAGGCAATCGTCACTTTTCGTGTCAGTGTTTTAAATAAACAGATCTAATAATTTAACCCTCAACAGTTAATAAACTTAGACACAGATTGTTCCATTTTTGCTTTTCTGAATTGAATGATCTATTTCTTCCTGTCTTTTCATCTTTGCCGTAGCCCAATAATTTTTGACTCGCCAGCCGGGCTACTTAAGGAATAGTTTGACTAGCCCGCCACTGTTTTGACTAGCATTTGGCTAGCGGGCTACCGCTAAAGTCGAACCCTGCTACAAGTGCTAAATTTGAATTTATGAAAAGTTTTTGTGTAACACTTGTGTGGTTAACTGCAGCAGTGCAGAACTCCCGAAGCAATCTCAACCTCAACCTCAACCTCAATCCCAGAGCATCATCATCCACATGATGGACATTGCCGAGCCACTGACTAGCCTCAAGAAAGCCCTGATGCAGAGGTTGCAGTGCAATCTCATGGACCATGAGATATACCTGCAGAACGAAAGACTGGTAAGATATGAACTGGCGGAGTGCAGAGTAAGCTCTAGTCTGGTTCCGGCATGTCTCACTTCATATACAAAATAGATGCGCATGCGTGTTATGAAAAGTATCGCCAAGAGTGCATTTACTGACGACGGCATTGCATTTGGTCAATATTCGGTCGATTGGTAATTATACGGTATTTTATGGGAAACTCAGGGGGCTTGTTTTTGGTCAATTTTCTGGTGACGGACCTACCGACCAACCACGAAGTGACATATAGGCTTACTAGCTACATTGTACAGTGCCTATCCACTCCGTTCACAAGTACCCCCTCACTGGCAAAGAAAGTTCATGTTGCCGCGACGCGTGGCCTTACCACTGCGTGTACACAGTACAAATCCCCTGGTGTATGTGCGGCACACACAAGGAATGGTGCGCGTCAACCAGCTAAATGTCGCGCCCATGGGACGTCGTTGCTAGGTAAAAGGGCGCCCTCTTCCGTTGGCGCACAGAGTCCATAGGGGCAATTCCACGGTTACTCACGTTACATTTTTGAAGTACTTTTGAGTTTCCTTGGGCTGTAATTACCTCACTGAAAAGGTTTAATAACTGTTATCCCCATGGTAGATAGAGTAGACCTAGACCTACCTAAGCACCAAAGATGACATCCAGAAAAATGTGTTAATGTATGATAAACAAGACGCACAAAATTGGTTACTCACATTACGAAAATGTAACGTGAGTAACCGTGGAATTGCCCATAGGGCCCTTTTGAGGAAATCCTTGATTTCATAACCAGAAATAACTAATACTAATTCTGTTGGTCGGAGGATTTGGTGTTAATGTCAAACAGGCCATAATGGTCATTTTCTCTGAATCCCATTGAACACAGATGGAGGAGGACAAGAGTTTAGTGGAGCAAGGCATAAATGCTGAAGGGATCTTGCAGTTCAGTGTGGAGGTCAACTCTTCTCAAGGTAACGAACGAATGCCGTACTAGTTCTCAAGTCCTTTAACAAGTCTATTAATAAACTGAATTGCACTAGCAGACCTGCATTCCATTTCGTGAAACCCATAACTTAACGATGCATCGCAGCACTGCAACGTGTCATATCCCAAGATATCCCTACGATAAGTCGCAGCTGCGATGGTCCTGCGATCCATTTCACAAAACACGAGGTAAGTGCGCCGCGTCGTAGGTGTATTTATAGCACAACTTGGTGACTGTTTTATGTATTTATTTACAAATTTTAACAAATTGTCTGGGTATTATATTCTCGTTTATGTATTTTTTTATGGCATAAAACTGGCTGAAAAAAAGGACTCTCTGATTTTGCAATGACCACTGGACACGTCATAACTTGCGACTTATTTAAGCCATCGTCAAGTTTCGTGAAATGGATCATACGATGCATTGCAAGTTGCGACATGTTACACCTCGTTACTCTGTTTGCGACGCGTCGCTGCGCTTCGTGAAGTTGTGTGGTTGGGGAAGGGGGCTGGCAAAAGTGCTTGTTGTGGTTCTTTTCGCTAAATTCACCAGAAAAGAGTACTTAGTACCTACTTAGTCCTCTTCAACCCTAGTGGGTCATAAGGCCACAGTGATCTCTCTCCACTTGGTCCTGTCCTTTGCGATGTACTGTGCCTCTCCCGAGGTTAGATTCATCTCAGCAAGTTCTGCCATTACTGTTCTTCGCCAGGTAGTTTTTGGTCTTCCTGGTTTCCTCCTTCCAGGTAGTGTCCATTGCAAAGCTGCTATAGGGATACGATCCTGATCCATCCTGAGCTTGGGGCTAACCATCGGATATGTTGGCTCTTGATCTCTGACAATCAGTCTATACAGGGTGTTTCAAAAAAAAAGGGAAACCAAGCTTATTTTGTTGATTTCTCGGGTATGACTAATCATTTAGGAAAATGGTAACCACCATCCGTTACATAACCATGTCTTCTTTTTCTTGACACCAAGAACTCCATTTTACTGTCACGGATGACTGAGCACCAAGTGATGTAACTGACATGCCAGAAATGGCCTTGTACCACATGCACCACAAGACCAATTGACAGTTTTCAACATGTTGAAAATAACAAAATCCAGGACGTACATTATCAAAGTCATTGCTAAAAAATACCAAGGTTTATCACTGTCCCCTTTAACCCCAATGTCATTTAACATGCTCCCCCATTCCTTTCAATGCAAATCTCTGCCCTGGTTCTCATGGCTGTGATATTCTCTCTCTCTCTGATGTCAATTGGTCTTGTGGTGCATGTGGTACAAGGCCATTTTTGGCATGTCAGTTACATCACTTGGTGCTCAGTCATCCGGGACGTTAAAATGGAGTTCGGGATGTCAAGAAAAAGAAGACATGGTTATGTAACAGATGGTGGTTACCATTTTCCTAAATAATTAGTCATACCCGAGAAATCAACAAAATAAGCTCGGTTTCCCTCTCTTTTTTTAACACCCTGTGTATAGACTTTGTTTGAAATCTTATTTGGCCAGTAGATGCAGAAAAAAAAGTAAAGACAACTATTTTGAAATCGGTGCTGAATTCCGCTCATCGTGTGACTTTTTTATTTATTTATTTTCTATTTTGCAGGAATGAAACCAAGGTTGAACATAGTTGACGTCATCAAGCCAATTACCATTGAAGTTGTAGATAATAATCCTCAAGGTACTCTTACACTGATAATTTGTTTCTCATCATAGCTATAACCAATAGATAACTTTTATCCATTGAAACAAAAATTGCATTATAACAATTCCAATGGGTTTCTGAAATGATGATTTTATGACATGTGCTTGTATTTCATTCATTTAGTCATGATTGTCCTGTGTCTGCAAAAGTCCATGAGTTCAAAGTACAGTAAACTCCGGCTAAATCGGCACTCTCGGGACCCGAGAATTTGTGACGACTTACGCGAATACCGATATCTGCTGTTATTCGTCATTTTGCCGACTTACATGAAAGGTCTTTTGCACACATGATTCATTGCACTAATTGGCTTTGATTTACCCTGGATTATCTCCTTAATGCTTGAGTTGAATCCAGCAAATTAATCCTCGAATTGTATCGATCATCACGTTTGGGGTTAGGGTTACGTTTGGGGTACTGATAGTGAAGACCACGATACATATGTACGTGCACAGTAACGAATTAAATGCGTGCGTGGTCCGGTATATACCACGCACGCATTGTCTGCAGCAGTAGTCATTCAATAAGACGACCCCCAAAATGGACAGAGCGCATGCGTAAAGCCTAGAGGGAGTACTGGTATTGATATGCTCACGATGCATATGCGATGTATGCAGTAGGACACCCTTTTTCGACACCGATGCATGCAGCGATCACGGGCCGTGCGAAAACCACTTTTCACTCGACACTTTGCCAACCGCAGTGCAGGAAGTTAATGCCAATGCGTGATTTGTTTAATGCTGACTTACACAAAGGATTTTGTAATGCTTTTAATGGAAAGGGGACCGAGAGTAACACGACGACTTGAGCAAAATGGCGACTTATAAAAGCCGACTTAGAAATAAAAAATTCAATGGAAATGCATTACGGACAATCAGGACTTTAGTCAGACGGCCGACTTGAGCGATTTGACGAGTTGTACGATGTCAGTTTAGCCGGAGTTTACTGTATTTAATTTGTGTAACTAACTACCACAATATCAGTACGCCATTCTCTGAATGATAGTTGAATCTCTGTTTGGACTCAGCACTTTCCAGAGCCCCAGTCGGGGGAGAGACACACTGCCTGCGTGTATATTGGTCGCATGACTTATTTCATTCTAAAATCCACACAAACCTGTTGTGTATATCTGTGTGTGTCAGGCGCCGGCAGTAATGCGTTCGGATATCACTCCCAGTGGTCTCCCCCAACTCTCCCTTTGCAACCGTTGAGGGGGTAGTTGAGCATGGAGTCCATTGGGTCAAAGGAACATCAAATGGCGTCACATGGCACCACGGCCTAGAACGCCATGGTCCTGTGGTTACGGAGTTTGACTCACGTACGAAGGTGCATGGGTTCGAACCCTACCAGGAACAGAGTGTTTGTGCCCTTGGGCAAGACACTTAACTACACTTACCTCTCTCCACCAAGGTTCATAAATGGGTACCTGTGAGGGTCGAGGACCGATTGAGCGCTGATATCGGCTGCCACGTTGTCCCATGCCCTGATGAAATGGGTAATAATTGTAAAGCGCTTTGAGATTGTTGATACGATGGAAAGCGCTATATATCAGCACAATTATTATTATTATCATCACGTGGGTGTGTACAACCTACGTGCAATTGTGGTGCTGTTACGCCTCAATTATGGCATCCTTCCAACTACATGTACATTTAGCATCTTCCCATCTATAGTTGGGATTTAGGAATGCACCAACTATTGCTGGGACAGTCCCAACTAGTAAAAAAAAAAGTAAAGTCTGTCACAACCGATGTGGCCCATCAGGTCGGCGTTTGTCTCTTAGTTTCAGTAGCATGAAACATCTGAGAATATTTCTACTCCCCCTGGATGGGATGCCAGTCCATCGCAGGTTACTCCCCGGCTGAAGCTGGTGTAGCGTGAATATCCGACTCCATGAAATATGGATTCTTCGGTAGTATTGAATGATTTTGATTTTATTTCAGCCACATCCAACAGCGCAAGCGCCAATAACAGGATGGATAAATGGAGAGAAGACAATGAGAAGAAGTTACAGTTTTAGAGGTGGGAGGAAAAGCCCAGAAGAATATTCTGGGGAAAACCCACGGAATCAGGCAGGGACTGAAAACCCAATCCACATATTGGCCCAGGCGGGATTCGAACCCGGGTCACAGCGGTGGAAGGCGAGGAAAGTACCGCTACGCCAACCTGACTCCCCAACCTGACTCCTCTATGATACTAAGGAGAGTTAACTGGTCACGTGCAAGGGATTAACCAATAACAGGGTAAAGAAGTCTAACTTACATAGAAGTTGGATTTTCAAAATGAAATATGGATTCTTTGGTAGAATTGCGCTGCGCATGCGTAAGTAATGATAATTAGGAGAGTGACTGGTCACGTGCGAGGGATTAACCAATAACAGGGAAAAGGAGCCCAATTTTCATAGGAGTTCAATTTTCATATGACACCGGTACCCATTTATATTCCTGGTTGGAGAGGGGCAAGTGGGGGTGAAGTGGCTTGCCCAAGGACACAACATGTGACCCACAGCTTGGTTCGAATCCCTGACCCTCTGGTCATGAGTCACGAACCCTAACCACTAGGCCACACTTCCCACAGTCCCAACTATAGTTGGACAATTGCCATAGTTGGGGCGTAACAATACCACTCTCTTGGCTGTACAGCGTGTCCCAAAAAAATGTCCCTCTCATAGACCACAGCATAATTACCAAAATCAAGTTTTATACTCAATTAAGTTTACATATTTAGAAAGCCCACTTAATTTTGTAGTTCCTGTGAAAATTTCAAAGGTCTCGCTTCATTGGTTTTGAATACACAGGCTTTTATGTAACAGCAGTGCTTTCCGGCCCATTCCAAGTTTGATAAAAAGAAATGCACACTACAGACATACCATACCTTATTCCATGCCTTACTTTTATTTCAACAACTGTGTTCTTGTTTTGTTATTAAGTAACTAAAGTCCAGTTCATTTACTTTTTTTAAATGAAAACTAATCAAAGTTCAGTTCCACTGGTCGTGTTTGCTTTCACAGGGTGTGCTCCACTTATGGTTTGTTCTTCAATGTCCAGCTTGTAAACCTTTATTGTCCTCCTGCACATCCTTCCACCTGCAAACTTGGAATGGGCTGAAAAGCACTGCTGTTACATAATAGACTGTGTATTCAAAACCAATGAAGCGAGACCAATGACATTTTCACAGAAGTTACAAAATGAAATGGGCTTTCTTAATCTGAACAATAAATTGAGAATAATACCTGATTTTGGAATTAATTAAGCAGTCTATCAGAGGGACATTTTTTTTGGGACACGCTGTATAACTGAGATCACTGAATCAGTCTGTACAGAGGTTGTTTTTCTCTTTGTTAACAGTCACAGAAGTCCCAGATACCTCCAAGTGTAGATGGATGGTTTGCAACAGCTACAAGGAAGAACAAGAAAGACTGGGAATACCAGAAGGTAAGAATTCTCATTGTCCACCACGAAGGGCGTCAATCACTTTTCAAAAGTGAGGGGGGGAGTGGACATTCGTTGATCGGAACTAATGTGAGTGCAGAGCCCTAACGGCGTGGGGTTCGGGACCCATTGAAGGGCCCCGAAAATGTTTTGGATTCTAGACGCTCTGTGGTTCGATCTGAGGCAATTTCTGACCACTTTAACCCATATTTGTAAGCAAAAGATCATACTTTAAACATGGTTTTTAAGTTTGTAGTAATTGAATCAGCTATTCTGAGCTATAGAATCATATGTAGGGTACATTTTTTTTGGAGGGAGACGAAAAAAGTGTGGGGGACAAACGATATGATATCCCCCCCCCCCCCTGTAAAAAGTGGGGGGACTTGCAAAATAGGGATACATACATGCATTTACCAGTAAATTGGTCAGACCAAAGTTCCGGAAATGATGTGGCGACGCGGCTTTTTTTTTTTTTGCTTTTTTTTTTCTTCTTCAAGCTTGGATTGTACAGAGAAGGTGGGGTACTATTTTGCCTTTTTTTGGTGTCCTCATGTACATTGGTGTCCTCCATAATTTGCCTTGGTGCTCTCGATCATTTGCCTTGGTGCAATTTCCCATTCCTTGGTGCTCTTTGGTAAAAAAAAATTTAGGAGGTGCGGAAATAGAGGGCGCTGTTGGAGCTACCGCGGAATATTTTGGAAAAAAAAAAAGATTGACGCGCATGATTAAAATCGACACGCGCGCTGACCAGAGACCGACTTATTTTTTTTGGGGCCTTATAGAAACCCACCCCAAAATTAAAATCTCGGAAGCTGCTGTTTAGATTTGTCATAAAGGTCCGTACAATAACAATGCTACATCGGTGTGTCCATGCAGCAAGATAACAAGTCTGTACAGTGAGCTCATTAGCAAAATGTTGAAAACTGCAACTTTTCGCGAGCGTCACAAACATGATAGATGTTGTGTTTTCCCATGTAGCCTGGCTTCCATGTTGAAAATTCCCCCAAAATGACCTTCACAACTGTTCATTTCATCGTCTCAGAAGAAACCAAGTTATTTGTAAAGTTGGTTACGGGTACCCGATCCCATGTAATCTAGAACCGATTCCTGACATCAACAGTCAGGTACTCGGGTACCCTAGCCCAGGTTGGACGACGTCTTTATTGCATTACACGACTGACGTCCAGGGTATAAATTCTTCCACCATTGCGCAAAAAAATTATAACACATTTTTTTCATATTTTTACCTGATGGAGGAAGCTGAAATTTCACTTACATGTTCCTTGCGTCCAGAATCGTGCCTGCGCTGGGTTTAGAAAAGGCAAATATGTCCGCGGGCAGCTTGTGTTTACCGAAAATAAGCCGCAAGTTCTACGCTTTCGTTGAAAACATTTTCAGTACGAACTCTCTGCGTGAAGACGTACACGCGCGTGCCGTTTGCTGCCATGGCGGCAGCGTGCTAGGTGTGCATGCGCATGCGTAATCTTCACACGGGGAGTTCGTACTGAAAATGTTTTCAACGAAAGCGTGGAATTACGGTATATTTTCGGTAAACACGCCACCCACGGACATATTTGCCTTTTTTAAACCCAGCGCAGGCACAATTATGGACACAAGGAATATGTAAGCGAAATTTCAGCTTCCTTCGTCAGGTAAAAATATACAAAAAATGTGTTATAATTTTTTTCGCTATGGCAGGAGGGATTCATACCCTGGACTCCGTTACGTGTACACAACGGACTCCAACCACTGATCTCTATATAAACACTGGATAGCGGATATGCATACAACATTCACACAGTAGACTTTGCATATTGACCAATTCGCCCCCGGTCTCACGAAGATGGCCGCGTATAATACGAACGTTCTATATCAACAATTTACGCGCATTTTGGTCACGTCCACATATGATGTTCTAAAAGGGACACATTTCCGTAGTGATTATTATTTCAAAAACGCCGAAAAAGTAATTTGCGGCATTTTAAAAGTAACCACGACGTTAGAAAAATTGTAGTAAACCTTGGTCAGTGGGGGTGGTCAAAATATAAGTCAAGTGAACCTTGACGTAACAAAAGAAATCATGCTGTCTATAAAGACGGCAACTTGTCCTTTGTAGATCACCAGCCGGTCTCACCAATATGGCGTCAAATTCATTCATTGTGCGGCTCTTTATTAGCTATCCAGTCTTTATATAGAGATCAGTGACTCCAACCTGGGCTATCGGGTACCCGGACCCCAGCTCGGGTACCCCAGTTCCAATGCACAGTCCTACGCCAAAATTCCGAAGATTGTGGTTGACATTGCCACAGATGTCATGCAGTTCGTATCATACCTGTGCAGAGCCCAAAAACTGGAGCAAAGACCAAACCCTGCACTGGCTGGACTGGGTGTGCCAGGAGTTCAAGAGGGACCACTCGACCCTGCCGTTACACCTGCACATCGACGGGCATAAGCTATGCTCATTGACCAAGCAAGAATTCGTCTCTGGCTTGCCCAGGCAGTTAGGGGAGCTCATGTGGTTTCATTTGGGCCTTCTGAAAAAGAGTGAGTTTTTTTTTTTATATGGATTCCATGCACTAGTACCCCCTCAGCAGTTATAAAGGGATTTTTTTTTGGGGGGGGGGGAGACAACAAGGAGGGACATTTAAACCCATGGGCGATAGCGCCTGATGCTCATGTGAAGATGCTATAGGTGTGTGCACCTTCCAAATCAATTAAGTCATGTGTGCTTCACATATGTGCACGTGTACTAGTACCTTACAGAGCTCCACCTGCTGCTTGTGCACGAAGTCCGTTGATCTGTTAGTTTCAGTGAGTCAGTCCTTTTATGTCCAGGGTGACATGGCTAACTCTAGGGCATCGTACGTTGGGGACATTGCCTGTCAATTTGCAGAGTATCCAGTCAACATCTAATAAAAGCAAGTTTGCAGTTGCGTCATATGAGAGGAATCTCTTCTGTGTGGTTCTGAGAAGACTGGTTTGCAAACTTAAAGTTTCAGAGTGCATGCTCTGCCGAGGAGATAGGCAGAGGATACTTTCTGAAACCAGTGCTTCTGATTTGAGGCCTGCGATCGCACCCCCATGCTATGGCACGCCTAAAAGCTTCCCGAGAAGTGGGAATAATCGCACACCTGAATCCTTCTATACCGCACACCTTTATGGCATAATTAGGCCTTTATACTTCATCATTTGGGAGAAAAAAAGTATGTTGGTAAATAAATTTAAAAAAAACCAAGAGGACTATTATAAAAAAAATACCAGATTGTTTAGTCCCAACTAGGACCACAGAATACCACGCCTAGAAAAATCACATGCCTAGAAAAATCACACATCTAGAAAAATCCAGGTGTGGCCTTTTCCACACGCCTGTGATTTTCAAATCAGGAGGACTGTGAAACATGAAGTTTTCGGGACGGTATGCTTTTGCTCATTGTCACGAGGCTGAGGACTTTCGGTTTCCCGCCAGTTCTTCTTACAACCTCTGCAACCCACAACTGAGATTTCCTTTCATGCAGTGCAACCCCAACATCTAGGCCTAGTTTCCATTTTCGTCGCAAGAGACAAAGAGAGCATTGCTGATGAGACCCAAACTGCAAACATACGGAAACATGTTATCTGGAGATATCAAAGATGATGCAAACTACCTCCCATATGACCATACGATTGGCATTGTGTTTGTGGTTTATTTGTCAAAAAAAAATGAACCAGATTCAATTTTGCCAATCACACCGTGGAATGGAAACATGTTTGTGTAGAAAATCAGTCCAACGATGTACTGCAAAATATTGCACCCTGCTCAAATCAGTCACACTATTGTAATGCAAAACTGGTATTATGCTCAAGATGGCAGATGCCAGGTGTGAAACAGTATACAAATATTGAGTGGCTCAGCGTGGAATGGGAGGAATATTATCGCAAGGTAAAATCTGGACTTTTCCATTTCACGAGGCGAAGCCGAGTGAAATGGAAAAGGCCAGATTTTACCGAGCAATTCAAAGCCACTCAATATTTGTTTTATATAACTGACATATAGATCCTTGTCATTTGATATATATTTGAACTTTTATTTCAATAAAAAACTGGAGGAAAATGTATTTCTGTCTTTGAAACCACCCCAGCGCTGTAGCGCCCCCTCTTTGGAACAATTCACGCTACGCGCAACGCTGAACGCGCATACCAGCATACATTTGCACACAAATACCGCGTCATGATCCTAACTGTTGAATAGTATTTCCCATTCCCCATGGGCGGATAGTACTTTTTGAGCGGTGGCGTGAATGGGAGCAATAACAAATGTCACGTGATGCGAGTTCCGCCAATCAAATGACAAGGATCTGTATGTCGGTTATATAATTGCTACTGAAAGCACTAATGGAATGCATATATAGAAGTGTCAGTCAATTTCCGACACATCCTGTAGGGATTACAAAGATCCTAAAGCAAAAAGGAAATGCCTCGGTGGCAGTAGCCGACGAGTGTTAGGATTAGAGTTAGCAGATGCTACTTAAAGTGGACTCAATGCACAAACGAGTCAACAGTGCAGGGGAAAAAAAGATTTGGAAACTTCACAACCATCAGCGCGCTGACACAATCATGATCCCTAACATCTCAGATATCACAGACAAAGTATTGCTGTCTGGGACTCTTCAGTGACATTGGCGAGGATCGTTACGTTTATGGTCACTACGCAAACCTTCATATCTTTTCAGTAGACATCCAGACCCACTGCTGGTCTTAAACGTAGTCTACCAGCACACACATATTTTGTGTGTAGAGAAACTGATATTGTCATGCTCATACCTCTTTCAATGCAGACCAGGACACTTGTGGTATGAAGGTACCCGAACGGGATCTGCGCATCACGGCGTTTGGCTCCGAGGACAAGCTGAACTCACACGGGAACAGAACAGGTCAGTCATCAACCATCACCCTTACAGGTCCTCCTACATTCCCCCAGGAGGTTTGGGAGGGTTTTGCAGGATCCTCCATTTATCAGAGATCAGTATAAAACATGTGGATTTCTTGGATCTCTGCACTACAGCTTTTCCAGCCACTCTGTAAAGCAGAGAAAACCTTGAAAATGAGTTTCCATTTTTCCAGTCGGGGGGAAAACTCAGGGAATTTTAGAAAACCACAAACGAAATTAGGGAAAACTTGGTTGGGACAGGATGGCTATAAAGGGGAGGAAGGAGGCCATTGCTTGTTGACAAGTTACCTGTGAATTATCAGAATCTTAGTTGCTTTGCTGCAACCACCCCTTGACTTCCCAGCAACCTCGTTCAAGAGAAAAAAATATATATCTCAGGGAACTCTGGAAATTTCTCAGGGAAACATTGGGGAAAACTCTAGGAGTTACGTTTCATACAGTGCTCTGAACCCTGACAGTGGTGAACTATGTTTTCCCATGTAGCGTGGTTTTCACTGAAAATTCCCCAGGAATGACAATCAAAACCATTCTTTTCCATTGTCTGAGAAGTAACTGCTAAGGTGGTAATTGATAAAGTTGGTTAGGCCAAAAAAAAAAGTCTCCGGTTTCTGGTGTGGAGCTTGCCCAAAAAGTGGTGCGGCGATGCGGCTTTTTTTTTTTTTTACCTGATTTTTTTGCTTCAAATGTCTGATGATGACTGCAAATGGTGCCCGACTAAACTTAGTGCAAATAAATATGGGAGTCCAAAGAGGCCACATAAAGCTTATTCTCGACCAGAACCCAATCTAAAAACACGTTAAAATTGTGCTGCAGCAGGATTCCAGTCAAACCAGTGACTTAAACGGTTTTGAGACATCATCTTTCATTAAAAAAAAAACTTTTTCATTTTGCCGACGCGCATGGCTACGGCGACGCGCGCGCATACCAGAAACCGGAGACTTTTTTTTTTGGCCTTAAGGGTACCCGATCCACAAATCTGGACACCAGCGGTCAGGTGCCCAGGTACCCGGTTCCGATGCACAGCCCCAGCATTTTGAAAACACATGATGAAGATTCCTTGCGAAAAAAAAAGGTATAGTCGTGTTCCCTAATGTGGCGCACTTCGAAGCCTACCCAACTTTCCTCGTGTAGTGTTGCCAAACCTCTTTGTTGATAAACCTCAAATTCATGCAGTGAAATACTGGTACTTTTACCTTTTTAATACTTGCTATTTAACCTCTGTGAACAATTTTGGTTTCATAAAATTTAATCCGAAATGCAAAAACGGTCGCGTCCGGAAATTGGGCACAAATTGGCGGAGTGTTCCCTAACGTGGCGCACTTGAATAAATCTCAGAAAATTCCAAATTAACATTTAAGAATTTCTGTAAACTTGATAAATTCTGATAAATCATTATTATCTTTACTTACAAACCCAGCCAGATGTTTGTCAGAAAATTATTTTCTTATTTTTCAGGGCATCTTCAAAAGGTTCACTTTGCACTTGAAAATAAAATCGGAAAATCAAGCCAAAATAATTTTTTCTTTTAACTTTGTAATGGGTAAATAAACTCGCGATTTATGAACGGGAGTGTTTAGAACTTGATGAATTTTCACTTTCTGTGAAATTTCAGTTAAAACTTTTGCTCTAGCTAGACGCTACAGGGGAAAAATAAAAGTGCGCCACGTTAGGGGCCGCGCCACGTTAGGGTACATCAACAATATTGGGAGTTAGACTGAATGGTCACTTCAGCACACCCTTTCTCTATTTGCAGGGAATAACGGTCAGATTCAGTTATGGCAGTTCCTGTTGGAGATGCTGACAGATCCCAATATGATCCACTGCATCTCCTGGGTGGGCACCCAGGGGGAGTTCAAGCTGCTGGACTCGGAGCTTGTGGCTCAGAAATGGGGAGAACGGAAGAACAAACCCCAAATGAACTACGAGAAGTTAAGCAGGGCCCTCAGGTAAACACATGGAACAGGACTTTGCCCTCCACCCCCACCCCCAACCACCACCTACCTCCACCAACAAATAATACTGCGGGAAATAACACCGTCAGTGAAAGTTCGCAATCGCACTGTTGCACCCTCAGTTGAGCTAATCAAAAGTTAGAAAAATAGTCAATGAATACGGTGCTACCACAACGCGCAGACACAAATGTGCTAGCGAGATTCCAATTTTAAATCTTGTACAATACGGAGATGCACGCAGAGCTCCCTCATGGGAAATAAGTGATAGATTGCGGTACCTATTGCTATATCAGATTCGAAATGACCAGCTGACCCTGGCAAGCTCAGTGGCCAACTGGTAAGAAGTCTGCACTAAAGCAGGAGGGAAAGAATGAAGTATCCAAACGCCACTTCAGCAGTTGTGTTTAAAGTCTGTGGAGAGTCCAAAAAAAAACTTGCTAAGTATTTGTTAACAAACTTGGAAATGTCCCACATTCTTAGTCTCACATTGATGTCTTTTCCACATTTTTGCATTGACTTACCTTTATTGCGCTAGTATATGAAGAATAAAGTGGTGTCAGGCTGCGACGTTCTTCCAGCAGGAGTTCTTGGGTTCGAGTCCCACCTGAGTAAGCTTGTGAAGCATTTCTCGCAAACCCCCAAAACAGCACTCTTACGAAATAACGTCTGCGGGGGAAACAAAACTCAATATCAAATTCACATCTTCGGAGGTTAATAGTGATACCTTTAATGTCTCTTCGCAGGTATTACTATGACGGAGACATGATTGCCAAAGTCCATGGCAAGCGCTTCGTCTATAAGTTTGTCTGCGACCTCAAGCACCTCTTGGGCTACAGCGCGGAGGAGCTGTCGGCGCGGGTGACGCAGTGCAGCAAGAGCAAAGCCAAGATGCTGCCCATCCCGCGGAACCCCAGCGACCCCGACTCGCAGAAATACTTCATTGAAAAAGTCATGACGGGCCTTTATGCTAAACCCTGATGTTTCCAGTGATGAGCAACTGAAATACTGTATTCATGTGGAGTTGTACCGCATATAATACCTTGGGAAAGCGCTGATATCGGTTGGACTGATGTTCAGTGAAACTACCTCTAAAAAACTGACGTCCTTTCTAAAAGAGCTGACAGATCCAGAAAAACAATGGGATTTCACCTCCATTCTGGGATAGCGTTGCCAGACAGTTTTTCTAGACGAGGATCTGATCACCATAGTGCTGTGATTATCAAGGAGTCTTTTCCCTGTTACGAAGAGAAGAAAAGAGCTTTGGGGTTGATAAATTAGTATTGACATATTTGCTTCGAGGAGTTACATCCTACTTTCCAAGTGATGATCTTTGGATATCCTGATCTGGCAAAAAACTCTCTTTACCATACATCTCAGAATATTAGTGCCAGTTTGAATGCCAGCTCTACCATTTAATAATTGTTGAATTTGACGGTACCTGAGAGCTGTGTGTGGATGCCAGGATTCCAGGACCATCCCAGGGATGTTGTCGAGTCCATCACAAGACCCTGCAAGTCCATCATAAGTCCTCCAGTCCCAATTCAGTTCAAAAGCTATTAACCCTAACAGAACTCAACCCATCAAACCCCAACGGAAGGCAATGTTGGAATCTGTCAGGATGGGTACAGTACCCCTAAACTGACAGTCTTTTACATTGGGTTGGCACACCTCCAGAAACAAAGTCAGAAACATATGTGTGCAGTTTCCCATATGGTGTTAGAATTTGCCAGGATGGGTATGGTTCCTAGTAAATCATGCCAGGAAGTTAGGGTTAAAATAAGCTTTGACGAAGGCATTCCTTTGTTATTGTTCATCCACTGTTACCTATTCCTGGACTTGCCATTCACTTTTGACTGGTGGTGGGCTGGACTTCATCCCTGAACCATCTTAATGAATACGATGTCTGAACATTGGACAAAAGACTTCAAATCTGTAGCGGTCTCCTGGGGCTACAGTTTTACAATCAGGGAGATCGAGAATCTGTACACTTTTAATGCCATGAATTGTGTATTTTTACTCTTAATTTTATTTGTTAGTGGGAGGTTAAGATTGCAGGGCCCTTCAAATAAAATAATCAATCATGCAACTGTCTCCATTTCATAACAGCATTTGTGGGTGATATGGCGGATTGGTTCAAACGGAAACAGGTTATCTCGTACCTTGGGCAACTCGTACCTTGGACATCTCATACCTTGGACAACTCGTACCTTCAACTTGACTTCATTATGCCAACTCGTACCTTGGACAACTGGTACCTTCAACTCGACTTCATTATACCAACTCGTACCTTGGACAGCTCAAACCTTCACCTAGTCATACCTTCAGTTAAGACGATTTGTACCGTCACGCGTAAGTCAAGTCGAACCGTCACATACAAAGAAGTCACGCACATTCTGTACTTTCCATATATTTTATATGGTATGAGTTGTCTTAAATGAAGATACGAGTTGATCAAGACATGAGTTGTCCAAGGTAGGAGTTGTCAATGTACGAGTTTCCCAAGGTACGAGCGTTCAAACCTCCCATGGTTCAACATTAACCCTAACCTTTTCAAATCCTGAAAAATCCTCTTTCCAAAATGGAGGATTTTTCAGGATTGAGGCTATATGGCACAAATGTGTGGCTGATTTTGCAGGATGCCTGCATCAAGGACTTGGGCTGAACCTTGTGTTGTTTATATGCTCAGCCGTGCATAAATGTAGGCCTATATTGTACTTGAAATCCTCTGCACTGCTCCAGGATGTCACTGGCTCTGCCTCAACATATTGACAGTGATTGTTCAACATATTAACAGTGATTGCTGGAGGATTGTGCAGGATTGAGGCAGGACCACATTCAAGAAATAACAGAGGATTTTACAGGATTTAGGCTGTGTGCAATTTTTAAACGGAGGCAGTTTGACGATTTTGCAGGATTGAGTTTGCATCCTAGCAAAAAAATGCCTAGGAAGTTTTGGTTAGTAAACCTTTTCGAGATATGGTTTTCGAGATATAAACCTTTTCTTGCAATGGGTATTGTGTAGATTGGATTGTTTGGTAGCATGGTATTTTTAGCAAGAATCGCAGGGTTGTGTTTTTTTTTGTCGCAACATTATCCTGATGAGTTTTCCGTCAAGTGTCCCACGATCTACAGCTCGCATGTTTCAAAAGCTCCCAAGCATCTTTCTCGTGGTTTTTGACCATCTAGAGTAATTAGCGACAACTCTAAACCACCAAAGTTTCAAGAGATGCACAGGTACATATCCACATACCATGTGGAATAGGACAGTTTGCTGAAAGTCCACATCATGTGACCGCAACATTAACATTTGTAGACAAGTGCGACATGGTTAATCGGCCTTTTTAGATGCAGTGGGCGCTATTTTGAGCAGGAGAAATCGCTTGATGGCGTCTACACCAGGATGCTGCGCATGGCTCTGAATGTCTCCTGGAGAGACCACATCAGGAACATCGACCTTTATGGAGGCCTTCCACACATCTCAGACAAGATCAGGGAGAGGAGGATGGCTCTGGCAGGCCATTGCATCCGCCACCCGGAGCTAGCAGCCCACAACACCATCCTGTGGGAGCTGACTCATGGAACTGCCAGGAGGGGGCGGAGACGAGCCACATATATCGACACGCTGCGACGGGACGTTGGTCTCAGTGACACAGGGGATCTGAGGACCCTAATGCTGGAGAGGGTCGAGTGGAGGGCCGCGATCAAGTCCCGAGTTGGTGTAGGCTAGGCTGCACCCTCGCATCGCATCGCATCATTTTGAGCAGATAACATTTCCCAATTCGAAATGGAGTTATCCTATTGTGTCCGTCATATCTCCAAGAAGGCTTGTGCACCAGTCGGAAATCAACTGACCTAATAGGAAGTCCATTTAATGGCTCCCCCATTCACCTTTTATTACCACATCACAAAGGGGCGGCAAGTAAATGACTTCAATTATCATATTAAAACATTTTTTGTATAGATGAACTGTATCTGTTCATTCTTACTTGGAATCTTCTCTCTTACCAGAGTATTATTTTAACCAGTAACACCTGGGTAAGGTTTCAATTACTTTAACGTAATCTAACTTAATTCACTCGTCCGGTGATGCTGACGTGTAATCTCTTTCACAACAACTTAGGAAGGGACCACAGGCGTCACTAGCACTGGCCATATAAACTCGACCCATGAACGTGGCTATATACATGTAAATGTACATATATAGCCACGGTTCGTTTATATTCTCTGGTCTTTCGACGTGTTCGAAATCCTGGTTGGAGTCCTTCCACTTACAATATCGAAATTGGAAGAAATCGATGGAAAAATACGAACGTCTATACTGTAATTTGTTTTCAGAGATAATAATGACGGAACGTTGCTGTGTATGAATACATGTACATTGTAAATATTGTGGCGTCTCGTTCACGGATCTATACATAAACAGTAATGTGGACCGCACGTGACGTAGTCCCGCCCACACAAAATGTATCCAATGACCTCACAGAAGAGGTCACCGCGCCCAATGATATGTTGGTGACAGTGAAGACGGGCGTAATCGAGGCTGAAGGTTTTCTGCTTCTTCTGCTCACTCAATACTGTGCAATCGCCTCCATTTGGCGGTCAGTGTGGAAGTGTAGCAAGCTAAATTTTGAAGTGTAGGCTATGTTTCGAAGTGTTTGCAAGGCATATGCGGTTCCTTATTTCACCACTGCCCTTGAATGGTGCGGTGGAACGTATCAGTACAAGTCGAAGAACTCCCCCCCCCCCCCCACATTACCTGTGCTATATTATCTGACACTTGGTGGCGCTGTAGGGCTACTCTGTTTGAAATTTCAGTTGGACTCAGGCGCTATGACCAGAAAGAAATGACATCATGTAGTGTTTATTCATTTAGTGCGTTCGTGAAAGTTGACGCATGTCGCAGAGGGGGCGCTCTTTCGATCCCGCCGGAACCGTTTGGGAAATACAACTTTCGCTCCCCTGTCGTATACCTAAAAATAATTAATCATGATAGTTTTGAACTTTTTTTCGTATTAAGTTCTTGTTATTATCATGAGACTAATATAATTGCAATCACTGGACTAAAACTGCAGTCGTATAATGTCTTTGACTAAATTGTTTTTGGGATCGATGAATCATGAATCGAAACGAAAATTAAAAAAAACGTACCGAGTAACAAAAGAAATCCTTTTTGCAGTTAGTCTTCAAAACAACATCTAATGCAATCACCCACCCCATGCAGAATTATTAGTGATGACAATCATCAGCGGGTTTCGAAACTTTCCCTCGACCTTAACGACTGTTTCATGTATCGAAAACGGTTGGGTTAACAGCAGATCATTTATACCTATGCCACCCATATTTGCATAATGTCACATTCTTCTTTTTTTTCATTTTAAATTTTGTTTGAAGGCGCCATCATCGATTACAATTCCATATTAACAGCTAAATTAGACTCGTACCGTGCCTTGTACGCACCTATACATTCATTTTTGTTACCGGTAACATGCCGGTATCAACTTAATTTCTGCCGGTAGCGTGTTTGCATTCGGTATTACGTACGTAATCATGCGCGCGCCTAATGCTGTCCAGATTTCTCTTACTCTGAATTTTGATGTGCAATAATTATTATAGCCATGATCCCTTCCAACAAAGGCCAACGTATACAACATTATACAAAGTAGTTCTTTTACAACATATTTTATTTGAGAGTAAGGTTTATGAATAATGCATTTACTAACGCTGTATGCGTGTAGCCTGCATATCATGTACAATCATGTACATGTACTTTGGACATCGACCACGGTCCGATAGGCACCACGCGTCTACTCAAGGTCTAGGCCTCATCCTCGGTGTTTGTGCATCTTATTACGAAAACCCCGTGTCGCGGAACCAGTCTCCACACTGCCGTTAAAGCTTTTGAAAACGCCCATTCATTCCGGTCGCGTCATTTGAAAAGGGGATTATACTCTTGTATAGATATTTGTCCGTTTGTGCATCAAGGGGAGGGCTATCGTTGCAGATATTGTACTGGGTAGGTGGAAATACTGAATTGCTCTGCTTACTTTGAAGTCAAAATCAGCTTTCCGTGGGACCTTTTACCGGGTAAGTACTGCAGATTGGAGTATTTGGGTATCGGTCAAATTGGGGGCGGATGTTAGGAAGATGGGTAATTTTGCAGTGAGGTAGAGAAGTACATGTAGGTTCCGGTCGTCAGGGTCTGAAAGCTAGGACGCTCATGCAGCCCGTGCTGCACCCATCTGTGGCCCGGGATGCATGTCGTGAGGGTAGTGTACACAAATGTACATGTACAGTACATGTACAAAATGTGTACATACCCGTACCGTGGAGGACTTATTCCTCCATGCGCGTACACAGCCAGTGGAACAACTTGCGCTCTCCGCAATTGCAGTTTGAGCTTTGGTCAACTTGAAGACTGGTTTATGATCGAAGAGCCATAAATAAAGATCGACGTAGGATGTTTTTGTTTCGGTCGTACCCCTAAATAATATGCACTTCTATCGTCTCCATAAAGCAGATATGTTTTTGTGAATGATTCTGTCATTTGACATTCCTATTCACAAAACCGTGCTTCAATTTGTTCTATCACGTATTTGTTTATAAATTCCATCCAAATTTTGTCAATTGTTTTACGCAATTTCGCCTATCTGAATAAATGTTCTGAAGACGGTGGTGCATTTCTTTACAATCTTCTTTAGTCGGCGAATCAAAGTAAATTGAAGTTTCTTTCAATACAGAAATGTTACATTATCTTGTCTTGTTAAGTCGGCATGATCATAGAGTTTAAATCAATAATTGTATTACTTTTATGCAAATAACTATTTTGATCAATTCTTTGAAAAAGCTGGGGTCGATTCCCAGTTTCCGAACTCGTGTCTCACGGTGATCATAGGCCTTCCACTTTATACATATTTTAGAGAACGGTAATGAAAAACGGCCACGGATCATACTGGGATCTGTATTTAATGTAAATAACAGACATGTAATAATTATATACATGTATTATGAGTTTTATAAGATATAGGGGCATTACCGTTGGCCAAAAATGTTCTGAGCAAAATGATGCTTAAATCCATTAAGATATTCGACGGATTATTTTCCATTATTGTTTAGTACATTGTATATTATTTTGAAACAAATATCGATAAAACATTTTAAATCACGTAAGTTTTATTTGTTTGATATTGATTGCTGGAAATCAAACTATTTCACGTCTGAATATTTTTTGCTTAAAAGTGCAGTCAATTGAAGAAATCGATTATGTTCATGACAAAATTAGACCTTTTTTATACCACCCCGGCCGTAAAGGAAACCTTGACAATACAAAAAGACCTCTTTCCATATCGTGAAAGCATTAAATGTCACTGCAACAGAAAACTGTGCAGTAAAGAAAAAAAACCCAGTGAGACAGGCACATCCAATTCAGATCATTACATTAAATTATTGTGCAAAAATAACACTTGAAGTATATCATTATTAACACAACATAGGCCTATATATTAAATTTGAAGTCCCGCCCACTTAGCTGAACTTAGCCTGAAGCATTTTACTGCACAAACCACGGAGTCTTCAGAGCTTGTCCACAAATTTGACAAAACACAATGAGCCTCGCATTCCATTCCCATGACCTGTCAAAATGACGAGTTATTAAATCATAGGTTTAGTCATTCAAATACTGTACTCTATCTCAGCCGTGAAGAAACAACACAATAACCAGTACTTGGTAATAATATACCATGACAAATACAATAGTAATATAGGCCTACAACCTGTCACTCGTCACTTAATACAGAGTTGTGTTTCTCGTCAAATAGGGCTACCCATGTAGAGGCTTCGCATACCATGCGTACGTGGCCTTGACTTTGCTTGCAGGTTGCACTGTACTGTCGCACGTTCGCGGCATAGTTTCCCCCTCCAAAACCACTTTGGGGATATAGCCAGAAAAAATAAAATAAACACACTTCAATGGATGGTGTGACCTGTGCTTCTGTGGACTTGACCTCAATAAATTTGCGCTGTTGATGGTGATACGAAGACAACGAAAGTAGTTCTGTGACTGCTATTGGGTCAGCGCCGCACAATGCCTTGACAAGGAAATGGTTTTAAAAAAATCGGCAGTATTTTTTTTCTCTCAGATCCTTCAGTATGTTTTTTTTCTTTCGAAATCTTTCATCTGGTCTTTAATAACTTCCTATTGTTTGTTTACATTACACACATAATGTTTGAGGTCCCGTTGTAACCAGGAAAAAAGTCCCACTGTACGTTCATTTAGTATCTTCACGACTAAGTGGAGGGTTTTAAAGTGTGTGGGGAGTGTGGCCTGCGCCTAGTGGTTAAGGTTTGTGACTCGTGATCAGAGGGTCAGGGGTTTGGATTCGCTGCTGGCCATAGAACACAAAGCAAGATGCTCGACTCGATGGCTGCTATACTCGCATGCTGAGGATGGCTCTATAGACCGAGTTGGAGAGACAAAGTCGGGAATGAGGTGCTCTATGGCAACCTGCCAAGAATCTCTTAGTCTTACAACTATCAGAACTAGGCGTCTGCGATTGGCTGGTCACTGCGTTCGGCATCCAGAGATAGCTGCAAGCCAACTCATCTTGTGGGAACCACTCATGGAGTAGCCTCTCAAGGTGGGCAGACGCTAACCTACGTGGACCAGCTGCGTCGTGATACTGGGCTAGCCTCCTCAGCCGAGATCAGGACAGCCATGGGAGACTGGAATGATTTGTTGCAGTCCGACGAGAGTCGACTTGATCGGTTGTGTCCTTAGGCAAGCCTGCTGCCTTTCCACCCAGGAGTACGGTACCGGCATTAGCTGGGAAGTAACCTGCGATGGATAGCATCCTGTCCAGGGAGAATACAAAAAAAAAACCAGTCGTTTCATGCTGCTGAAACTGGGGATAAACACCGGCCTGATAAACCATATTGGCAGCCTTTACTGACTTTTAACATGAGACTGATATTGTACAAAGACCTGTTGTCGTGAAGCACACTATGATAGCAAATGGTAGGCCTACTCACGGCATGCAATCGGTAACATCTGAACTTTTAATCCTTTGGTTTGCGCATTGTGCTTTGTCCTGTATCTTTGAATGGGATATCATGCAGCGACAATGACTGAGAGCTCCCCCAGGTTTCAATTCAATCGTACGGGACGACCTACGTGCACGAACAGCCGTGTTTTTGTCCAGTGAACAAGCAATAACAACTTTTCCCGCGAATAACATCGAGGGGCCAGGGGGCCAATAACCTAGCGCTGAGTGCTACATGTACAAGTGGCTAGAAACGGGTTTCCAGCCAATGTTTCGTCTAAAAGCGTATTTCTGACTTGTTCATGTAGTGGATTTTTGCTGAAAGTCACTCTATGGTTATACCATATTATAAAACAAAAGGAAACAATGGGTAGGTCTAAACTCCACTTTGTAAAGTTTGTATCTCTGAAAAAAGGTGTCAACCGTGATTTGCTAATGACAATCTTGCAAATGCTACTTCCAAAATGATATGCAGCAGTACATGTTTTTCGCATGTATAGGCCCTACTGTGCTTCGATCAAAGTCCATGTACTATGAGCTTGCGTATTTCTCTTCAATTACTTTGCAGCTATTAAAGGCAATATAAAGAATCGGATTTATATAGTAAAGTTGATCTGATGTGAACACTACAATCGCAGTTATATTATATTGCGTGAAAATATAGTGCGAGCATAAGTTTCATCATACTAGGACTCATCGACTCAATACTGATGATACTTTATGAAGATAAGATTAAAAAAATGTACAACATTTGCTTTTGCTGCAATTTTCAGAAATACATGGATTTGGAGGATTAGTATGTTATAGAAAATATTGTTACACTGACTTGTTTCACGTTTTCGGTTCGTAGATGCTGGGAAAACCAATCATATTATTGTAGTCTGGTTCCCTGAGCCCACTTACGATAAAACGGACAAATTTATAGACTTTGGGGAATTGTAAGATCAGAGAATCAGTCTAGCAGGGTTTTAGTCTTCACATGTGTGTATTTTCAATTGCAAAGAAAATGCAGACGAACTAAATATAAAAAAGTAGGAGCACTTTTTGAAAAAGGCCAGTTTTCTCCAACGCTGGTCGGCCGACCAGCGTTGGAAAAATACAGTTTTTCTTGAAAACGTCAGCACACCAGGAGCCACAACTTTACAGGATGCTTTTAGACTGTCATTCCCTAACAATCCAATAAGATATTTCGTGATAATTTGATCATTTCGTTTTTTGATGTTTGCAAATGTTGTATCTTCCCTTTAAAGGTTAGCATGGTGAAAGTAGCACTAAGATGATGTGATAAATCTCTTTTAATTGTATAAGTTTATGAGGTTCTGAAAAGAACCGGGGAAAAAACTGGCTTCATTGCTTCCAGTCTCACTATACATAACACTCACCCCTTCACCGTTGGAATCCCTTCAGTCTCATGACGACGGGCAGAGCATACTGTCCGAAAAGATAAGAGCCCGGGTTCTTTTTAGAACCTCACACTCACATACCCATAAAAGATATTTGTCCCATGGACGGCAGTGCTACCGTAAATCTGTATACATGTACATGTATACCAATGAATAACCCCCCCCCCCCAAACCAGGTTTACATGTATTCAGAGATATCTCTGGATTTGTTGTCAGGCCGCATTATTAGGCCGAATAAAAAAAACACATGTTTCTCGTCCGGGTTTTCGAAAAAAAAAAGGAGGAAGCGGGGCTTTTTATTTTTTATTTTTTTATTTGTTTCAAGATGGCTGCCATTTAAAAATTTCCTGCAATTGTTGGTGTTTCCACTGTTCAAAAACGCTTTTAAAATGAAAGACAAGTTGGACAAGAGAACTGAACATATTTAGACTTGTATTGGTCTACAATTTTTTTCCATGAATTTGTGGACTTGTTCGGTGTTTTTTTACTGCATTTTTCAAAAAAAAAAATAATAAAAAAAATCCAGGCGGCCTCCAAAAAGGAAGCCTAATTGGTAATTAATTTGTAAACTAATTATCCCATAACTAATCGTGGGAGGCTTTTTGTGAGATGCCTATGTCATGTCTACCCAATGCGTTTAAAAAAA